AACAAGATCGGCCGCAACAGTAGAGGCAACAAAGGGCAAGAGGGGGGAGGGGGAGCACCCCTCAAAGACAGGGGTACGAGGGTCACCACGAGAGACTCCTACAGCGACTATACTCTTCTCTGCTGCTAGGAGGCGCTCCTCGAGGAGGTCAACGGTGAGATTGGTGGGGCAAACAGTGAGGAAGTGGTCCCTGACCGAGCGAAGGGTGTCAGGGAGCCGGGTGACTATGTAGTAGAGGGTGATGTACATAGGAGGGGGGTTCTTGGCGCAGAACTCAGCAGGAAGCGCAGCGCGGTAGCGAATGTCACTAGTGCGAAGGTGTGTAATGAGGTCAGCGACTGTGGGAAAAGCGGCGAGGTTAGGGAAGAGGAACGGCAGTATGAGGCGGCTAGGAGCAGTAGTGGCAGGGGAAGAGTAGCGTGCAACTACAGCGTCGTACAAGGTCTTAGCACTCTTGTACTGACTAAAATGCGCGCGCTCAGCGGTCGGTAAGTGGCGGCGCACAGCAAGGCGGGCAGCAGCATCGCGCGTGGCCCACTGTGAGCGAACACTGGCGTCAGCATCAGCAACAGGGGCAGGAGAAGCACCAGAAGTGAGGTCAAACAGGGAGAGACCGTCTGCCCTATCGCACTGTAGGAAAAGCTGTAAATCATCTACCCAGACCTCAAAGTTAACATCCCGACCCTCAGCGTCAAAGGTGAGAACACTGGGGTTGGCCATGATAGCAGTAGACAGGTAGTGAGCACAGCGGGGTAGGGCAGTGCAGTGGCAGATGCGTTGCTCTTACCAGGCAAGTGAGGCGGTCCGGGGCAGGCCGGCAGGGACAGGTCTGCTACTGCAGTGACGGCGGTGTCTCGGCTGCGGCGGCCCGGCGGCTAGGCTGCTCGGCGGCTCGGCGACAAAGGCGGCTCTGCGGCTCGGCGGCTCGGCAACAAAGGCGGCTCGGCGGCAAAGGCGGCTCGGCAACTCAGCGGCTCGGCAGCGAAGGCGGCTCGGCGGGGCAGTGAAGGGCGATGTCGCCGCCGCGAAGGAGCGGCGACCGGGCCGCTGAAGGGCGGCGACGAGGCCGCCGAAAGGGGGCGGCGATGAGTCCGCTGAAGGGCGGCGACGGGGCCGCTAAAGGGCGGCGACGAAGCCGCTAAGAGGCGGCGACGGGGCCGTTGAAAGGGCGGCGACGGGGCCGCTGAAGGGCGGCGACGAGGCCGCTAAGAGGCGGCGACGAGGCCGCCAAGAGGCGGCGACGGGGCCGCTGAAAGGGCGGCGACGGGGCCGCTGAATGGGCGGCGACGGGGCCGCTAAGGAGGGCGCGACGGGGCCGCCGCTAAAGAGGGCGCGACGGGCCGCTAAGGGCAGAACACTAGGCACGCTTCGGGCAGGGGACAACGCGTGCCCCGGGCAGGAAAAAAAAAAACTCGATCTTGGTGGGCCCTAGGACAGTTCTCACTAGGGAACCTGCTCGATACCATGAGAAACTTAGAACGAGAATGGGTTGACTAAGGAATAAAAGTGATACAAATATGAAACCCTAGAATTGTGTACCCCTTAGTATCTAACTCGCTACAGCCTACACAGGCTAGATCATATAAGTTTGACACAAGCTGCCTTCTCGGCCCTCAAAAACATTTTATGCTCACCGCCCGTGCTTCACATCGCAGATCCACACCGTCCGTTCGAGCTCGTCACTGACGCAAGTGACATCGCTGTGGGAGCAGTACTGTTGCAGGATTTCGTGAACGGCCTCCAGCCAATCGCGTACGAGTCCCGCAAGCTGCACCCGCCCGAACGCAACTACCCGATACACGACCGCCAAATGTTGGCGATTGTGCACGCGTTCAAGGTCTGGCGGTGTTACCTGACTGGCGCCGACGTGACAGTACGGACAGACCACCAATCACTTCAGTGCCTACGCGCCCAACCAAATCTCAACCCGCGACAGATTCGCTGGTTGGACTACCTCGAGTCCAACTTCCACTACACGGTTACGTACAAGAAAGGCGCTTCCAACATCGCCGACGCACTCACTCGCCCCACCGCCCAACTCCATGCCATCCTACTCACCCAAACCGACCCGCTTTTAGTAGGCCTATTCACCCACGGATACCGCACAGGCCCGTTTTTCACGACCGGAAATTCACAGCAACTGGCAGAAGCTAAAGGAGTGTTTTACGTAAAAACAGGCACCAACCGCATCTGGGTACCCGCCTACTCACTACTGAGGGAGCTGCTACTGCAGGAGGCACACGACGGAATTACCTCGGGACATTTTGGGGTGAAAAAATGCGACAGCAACTGCAGCGGTATTACTACTGGCCGGAGCTGTTGCCCCACGTGTCAGGTGATGAAGAGCTCGAGGAAGCGGAAGGCGGGTCAATTGCAGCCGATACCACCGCCTGAGCGCGCCTGGCAGCAGGTTACCATGGACTTTGTTACAGGGTTACCTTCGAAACCTGGGGGTAACGACGCGGTGATGGTCGTCGTTGACAGGTTGACGAAGATGGCACACTTCGCTGCGTGCAAAAAGTCGATCTCAGCCGAGGAAACCGCTCGTCTGTTCATCGCAGCCGTTGTTCGCATGCACGGGATACCAGCAGCGATTATCAGCGACAGGGACACGAAGTTCACCAGCAACTTCTAGAAGAACCTCTGGGAGCAGTTCGGGACCAGGCTATAGTTCAGTTCGTCGTACCACCCCGAGACCGACGGTCAAACGGAGCGGACGAATCAGACGATGGAGCAGTTGATTCGTGCCACGTGCGACGACCCCACAGCTTGGTGTCAGAATCCCAGCCACTAGACCACTGGGATAAAAGGGCTTGTTTCAGTAGCGGGTCAGTGCGCCCATAACCCCCCAGGCGAACATGCCTGTAACCCTCTCCAGGATCGATCGGGGATCTCACAGTGTAGCTCTACTGACACCCCCCCACACTGGGAGGCCCAGGACTAAGCACAGCGGCACCGGCCTACATGTGCATACACCGGGAATCGAACCCGAGACCGCTCTGATACCATGTCAGAATCCCAGCCACTATACCACTGGGATAAAAGGGCTTGTTTCAGTAGCGGGTCAGTGCGCCCATAACCCCCCAGGCGAACATGCCTGTAACCCTCTCCAGGATCGATCGGGGATCTCACAGTGTAGCTCTACTGACACTTGGGAGCAGCAGCTGCCGCTGATCGAGTTCGCGTACAACAACGCCACGTCAGCGACTACGCAGCAGTCCCCCTTCTACCTGAACTACGGGCAAAACCCTACAGTGCCCATGACGCCGAGTCCGGACAACCCAACACCACGCGCACAGCAATTCGCCGAAATTCTGCAAGCTGCCCGCACCAGAGCCGCAGAAGCAATTAAAAAAGCAAACGTCATCGCTAAGCGCAACGCCGACCGCCACCGCCGCCCAATCACGTACCAGTCAGGGGATTACGTACTGCCCGGCACGCAAAATCTGCGACTGTCCGACGTACCGAAACTTCGACCGCGCTACTGTGGCCTATTCCAAATCAGCCACATGATCACGCCAATAACAGAGCACCTACTGTTACTGACCGACTGGTACATCAGCCCTTCGTTCCACGTCAGCTTGCTTCGCCCATACATCCCAACCACAAGCCAATTGCCTCGCCCATACATCCCAACCACAAGCCAATTGCCTCGCCACCGCCCGCCATCCATGACTCGCCCTGCATCGGAGCCGATCATCGAGCCCGAAAAAATCCTGAGCCATCGGATCCGACAACCCACGGGAATCAGGAGGATTGAATTCCTCGTTCGCTGGAAGGACCGCACGCCAACTGAAGATAGCTGGGTGCCCCTGACCAACATTGAAAACCACCCTAGCCTGCAAGTGTACCTGAGGAGCCGGGGATTCCGCGATATACACGCACTCTCATAGCGGAGGGGGCTTCTTGAGGGGGGGGGGGGGGGGGGGGGGGGGGGGGGGTAGTGTAAGGAATTTTCTCGGCATTCCTTACGGATCCGGACTACATCGCGTACAGCAACAGCCGTTGTTCGTCCGTTACTGCTAACGGGACTTCGCCGACTTCGCGCGCACTGTTTTGCCAAACCTCGCACTGCTGGCCCGGCCGTGTCGGCCAGCATAGCACTAGCTAGCTCGCACGCACCGCGTTACCGTTTGCATGTTTCGCGTATAAATGTTCGCTCATGCCTTCGCTCACATCTTAGTACTCGTTTGACACCTTAGTGCAATTCTCGCTACTTCGATTCATTGCACCCGTAACACGAACCCAATCACGATTTGCAATGTGCATCCGTACCTCCCCAACCAATTCTCCCCAGCTGCCCTTTCTGCTCATTTCGGATCGCAGATTCATTTCTGTCCTGTTTCCCTTGGGCTCTGCTAATGCTTTTGCCATCTTCGGGCCTTAGCGATAATACCTATTTGACTGAAACAACCCGTGTAGAATAAATCTTGACGGAATATGCATGCTGTCTCAGCCACCACCTCATCTACCTAGTCTACCTTGGTGCACACTGCTTGCAGAGCACGAACCGGGGCGATATCCGTGATTCAAGTTGGCCTTAGGGTTACCATAACCCTGAGTTGGCAAATATCACTTTGTGAAGATTTCTGCGTGGGGACTCAGTGGCTACCATGAATCAACAATATGGCCAGTTTAAGAAGGAAATAGAAAATCAGAGTACCGATTATGGCGACGGGTGGAGCACGGATGAGGACGAGCCGTCCGTGTTCCGCCCCAATGCCATCGCGTTTCCCACCCACACAGCTGACAATCGCGGCGCGCAGGAGCATCTCAGCGCGGTGCACCATCATAGTTTCGTCGCAGCTCCTGAGAGTTACGGCGACAGGCAGGTGCGTAAGGGACACCGCATGCACTCCGGTTCAGTGCGATGCACTGCCGCCCGCTTCTTCTGCTGGGAGAATCCACCCCGAATCTTTCACATTGCCACAACCAATCATGGTGTCTGCGCCGACGACGGCGTCAGTTCCAGTTACAGCGTCAGCACCACTCACGGCGCCATGGCCGGCATAAAGAGATGCCCTCCCGTCAGCACCGCAGCTGGAGTGGGGTGTGCGAGGAATCTTTCCTCCCTTGCGTCCAATAAATGAAAATACCAACGGATCACAAAGCGCTCAGAGCGTGGAAAAGTAGTTCAACATGTAAACGAAGGAGAATGAGAGATGGCATGGAGTTGAGAGATTTTTACATGCTCTCCCTGAGGGGAGGGAGATGTGGGATGGGTGGTACGTGACATGGGTGGTATATGACATGGGGTGTGTGGCATGGGGTGTGTGGCATGGGGTGTGTGGATGGGGTGTGTGGGATGGGGTGTGTGGCATGGGATGTGTGGGATGGGGTGTGTGGCATGTGGCGTGTGGGATGGGGTGTGTGGCATGGGGTGTGTAGGATGGGGTGTGTGGGATGGGGTGTGTGGGATGGTGTGGGGCGTTATATGGCATGAATGGTATGTGGGATGGGGTGGGGCGTTATGTGACATGGTTTGTATGTGACATGGGGTGGGGTGTGTAAGGGTGGTGTGTGCCATGGGGTGGGGTGTGTAAGGGTGGTGTGTGCCATGGGGTGGGGTGTGTAAGGGTGGTGTGTGCCATGGGGTGGGGCGTGATAAGGGTGGTGTGTGCCATGGGTGGGGTGTGATAAGGGTGGTGTGTGCCATGGGGTGGGGTGTGTAAGGGTGGTGTGTGCCATGGGGTGGGGTGTGATAAGGGTGGTGTGTGCCATGGGGTGGGGTGTGATAAGGGTGGTGTGTGCCATGGCAAGGCGTGTCTCCCACATATTGTTCAAGGATATTTCAATCCCGTCGTTGACGTAAACGCGAATGCGAGGAAGGTCACAACGGGTGGAAGGAACGACTGAACTCGCCAAGCATTCCCAATCCAAAGAAGCGCAAGTCCAATATGCCGACTGCCAAGGTGGTGATTAGACCGGGAAAAGAGTCGGACTTTTGGTGTTGCTTTTGAGATATCTCAGAAGCAACACCACCATGTGCCGACTGCCATGTTGGTAACTGAACCAGAAAAAGAGAGTCGGACTGCCGGCTGGCTGACATTCCTTCCAACTCTCCAACTCCACCTCCCTTCCCTCCCTCTCTGCCTGCAGGCCCTCCTCACCGCTTCTCTGCTCCCTCACTCTCTCGCCGCCTCAACACCCCTCCCCTGGCAATTATTGCACACACCCCACATTCCCTCCCTGCCTGCTCCAATTGCTCCTCCTCCTCCTGCTGCTGCTGCCGTGGCACCCTCCCCTTCGCCCTCTGGCCATTCATCCGTGCCCCCCGTCCACCATATACCAGCCCCTCCTCCCACCCTCCTTGCCGCACCTGCACCTGCTTCCCACCCTATCCCCACCCGCGTCCCCACCCCTCCTCTGCTCTCCGTGCAAGGCCCCCACCTTCCCCAGCTAGCCCATGCACCACCACACGCCATCCCATGCCGCCCCACGCTGCCATCACCGCATGGAGCAACCCTCAAGGAGCCACACTTGGCAGCATCACCACAGCATCCCCCTCATAGCGTCGTCCACCTTCCCTCCGCCTCTGCTCCTGCTACTGCTGCTGCCGCTGTCCCGATGGCCCCTCCACCCCCACCACCTGTCCGCGTCTCACCCTTGCCTCAGACTGACCTGCCTGCTGCCTCTGCACTCCCACCTGCTCGCTTGCAGCAGCAAGCAGACGGAGAGAGGCACATGCACTCCCTGCCACCCACTGCCCTCCCAACCACCCACGCACGAACTGCCACTGCAGCCTCTGCTGCCGCTGCCTCAGCTGCAGTCGCTGCTCCCACGCACACATACACGACTGGGCGCAAGTCATTCCCCCCATCCCTCTTCCTCCCCCGCACTGACCCACTTGATGCCTCCGCTCTCCCCTCCCCCACTCCGCCCTCCTCCACTAGACGCACCGCTTTCTCCCCGCAGCAACCACCGTCCACCCATCTTTCCCCGGCTGGGGATCAACCGCCTCTCAGCAGCCCCTTACAACCCCCTCCTGCCAAAGCCCACTCCACTGCTGCTCCCCACCTGCAATTCCCCCCAGGCTTCCCTTCCCCAGTAGAACCCTCATCGCTCACCCCCAAGCCGTCCCCCGTGCCCCTGCTGCCACCACCACCCCTTGCATTCCCACGCCCCCTTACAGTCAGATCTACTACGCCTTTCCCTTCGCCTTTCCCCCCGCCCATTGCCCCTGCTCTGCCCTTTCTTGCCGCTCGCCTGCCCCTCCCTTTTGGCCCGTTCGTCCGCCCACCCATCCCCGCCGCTGCCCTCTCTCTCCCCATCGGCCTCTCTTCTCGCCTCCCCCTTGCCTCCCTCTCTTCGCCCACTGCTGCCGCCGCTGCCGTTGCTGCTGCGGCTTCCGTTCCTGCTGCTGCTGCCGATGGTAGTAACGCAGGTGTTGCTGCTGTTGCTGGTGGTGCTGGGGGTGACAGTGGTGCCAGTGTGGGGATGGGGAGAGGGAAAGAGGAAGAGAGGGATGAACAGAGTCTGGGGAAACTGAGGAAGGAAGGCGAAGCGGATGAATCAGCTAGAGCAAATGACAGGAAAGGGGAGGAGCACAAGGCATCGGAGGATGGGAAGAAAGCAGGGGGGCGAGATGAGGTAAAGCGCGAGGAAAGGGAGGAATCTGCACCAATGAGTGCTGCTGATTCAAGCAAGCCAGAGGTAGTTGCTGATGGTGATGCGGAGGCGGAGATGGGCAGGCAGGGGGAGTCTGTGACAGCACATGGTGCTTGTGCGGAGGGCAGGGGTGTGATCAGCGGGGTGAGTGGAGGAGAAGGGCCGAGGAAGGAAGAAGGGTGCGATGGGCATGCCACAGAAGCTGTTGCAAGTGAAGCAACGCACCTGCAGTCATCAGAGCCGTGCTCAGAGTCTCTCTGTGATGAAGAGTTGGACATTGCACTGCCTCACCCGGGCATACTCGCCACGACCTCCCACCCTGAAGCTGCGAGTGCAACCCGCACTCTTTCTCCCCCGGCTGCTCTGGGGGTGGAGTTGGTGCGTATGAAGGCAGAGGGTGCAGGTGGCACGGCAGGTGGTGTGGGTGGCATTGCCGAGGCTGCATGTGGGGCAGCAAGGGGGGTTGATGCGCGTGTAGGAGAGCCTGGTGATGCGCCCCTGCGGCGGCTAGACTTGGACCCCAGGCGCAGAGAGGTGGGTGCTGAGGGGGACTTGGAGGTTGTTGTTGGTGCGGGCGGAGTGGGAGGGAAGGGAGGGGGAGAGGAGGAAGAGGAGATGAAACGAGAGGAGGGAGGACGTGAGAGCGAGCAGCAGCAGGAGGAGGAGCGGGAAGGGGAGAAGGAGGGGGAGAAGGAAGGGGGGGAGCAGCAAGAGCAGCAGTTGGAGCAGCAGGAGGGAGAGCAGGAGGGGGAGCAGGAGGGAGAGGAGCAGGAGGAGCAGCAAGGGGAAGGTGAGGGTGGAGGGGGGGTGTCAGCACGTGCCTCTGTTGCTCTTGCTGCAGCTCTGCTCGCGCCCCCTGCCCCCCACCACGCCCCTGTGCGCAGCGGCCGCATCTACACGCGCCGCCGCGCCCGCTCTGGCGCCCGCAGCACTGCTGACCGCTGCAGCACCTGGGGTCGCGGGGGCGCTGACCACACCGGCGCAGGGGGGGAAGCAGGGGCAGGTGGGGGAGGGGGAGGTGTGGGAGAATTGGGGAAGGGAGGCAAGGAGGTGGAGGAGGAAGCTGGACAAGGGGAGGGGGAGGGGGAAGATATGCACAGCAGCAGCTGTGGGGATGGTGAGGAGGGGACTGGGCAACCAGCAAGCGGTGACTGGGGGAAGGGGCCAGGAGGGGGAGGAAAGGGCGGAAAGGGGGGAAAGGGAGGGGCATTGAAGCTTGATGCGGTGAGAGAGAGGCTGGTGGGGCGGGTGGCCAAGGGCAGGCGGCGAGGCAAGGGGGGAGGGGCAGCGGGGGCGTTGGGACAGCAGCTGGCAGTGCGGGCGGCGATAGCAGAGCGAGCGGCCGGCAGGCCTAGCCTGGCGTTTGGTGCGGAAGTGAGTGTGGAGGGCACGGGCGTGGGGGGGTGGAGAAGCAGAACCCTGGCGGAGCTGGTCGTGCCAAGGGGCCGGGGGGGCGCGCGGGGGAGAGGCAAGGGGAGGAAGAGGGGGGACGGATGTGGGAAGGGGAAGGGGGAGGGAGAGGGGGAGGGGGAGGGGGAGGTGCGGGTGCTATGGCTGGCGGATTCCAGTGTGGCTCCCCGCCCCTTGGGGGATGGGGAGGGGGGCGAGGAGGAGGAGGAGGAAGAGAGGGAGGCGGGAGATGGGGAGGATGAGAAGGGGGCGGGGGTAGTGGGAAGGCAGGGTGTGGAAGGTGCGCGGTTGGGCAGTGGCTTGGTGGCAGGCAGTGGGAGAAAGAGAAAGGGTGTTGGCGAGGGGGAGCAGGCGGGGGAAGAAAGTGGAGGAGAGGAAGGGGGGAAGGGAGATGGAGGGGGCGTGGGCGACAGGGAGGTGACGGCTGGAGGGCACGAGGGGGAGGAGGAGGGGGAGCGGGACAGGGAAGGAGATGCATCAGGCTGGGAGAATGCTGGGGAAAAGGCTTGCGGGGGAGCAGAGGAGGGAGGGAGTGCGAGCGTGATTGCAAGCGAGTGGAAGGGGGGCAAGCGGCGGCGGTGGCAGCCGGTGGTGTCACGGGGAGGAGATGGCGTGGTGGAGGTGCGCTTTCGACAGCTGCTGCCCGGCACCTCCTCTGCTCCCTCTGCTCTGAACCCTACCCCACCTCCTCCTGCTGCTGTGGCTTCTGCTGATGATGCACCTGCTACGGGTGCTGATGGTGTCTTGGCTGATGCTGCTGCTACTGGTGGTGTAGATACTGGCGCCACTGCTAGCCATACTGCTGATACTGATGCGGCTGCTGCTGATGTTGCTTTCACTGATGAACCTGCTGTTGGTGTTGCTAATACTAGTGCTGCTGCTTCTTGTGGTACTGATATTGATGCTGCTGCCACTGCCGACGTTAGCAGGGATGATGCTACCAATACTGATGGTAGTGCTGCCAGTGCCCCTGCTGCCCCTCCAACTCTGTGTGGCACAATGCTTCCCAGGGAAGGAGAGGGTGACGTAGCAAAGGAGCAGGGCGAGGAGGGAGAGGAGAAGGGAGAGAAAAGGGGAAAGGGTCAAGGGGAGAAAGGGGAAGGGGAAGGGGAGGACGGAGCAGGTAGTGGAGAAAAGAGAGGAGGGCGTGAGGGCGAGGGTGAAAAGAGTGAAGGTGAGGTGGGAGAAGAGGGGAAGGAGAGAAGGGAAGAGAGGAAGGGAGAAAGTGAGGTGGGGATGAAGAGGGCTGCTGACAGGGAGATGCCACACAGTACAGCTGCTTCTGCACCCGCCCTTCTCACTGCAGCGAAAGGTGCGAGCTCTGCTGCTGCTGCTTCTGTCGCCACAGCAGCAGCAGCTCATGCGCTTTTGTCTCATGGCAACATGGCAACTTCTTCGCATGCATCAGCACCGCACGAGTCAGAAGCAGCAGCACCGAGGGAAGGTCCCGCATCAGGTGACGCAGCAGCGGCACCATCCCCTGAGGCAGCACCAATGGCAGAAGACACAGCAGCAGCCACGGCAGCAGAAGACACAGCAGCAGCCACGACAGCAGCAGCAGCCTCCTGTCATCCACAAAATGTTGCCTGTGCCCCTCCCTCTCCTGCTTTTGCCCTCCCTGCTGCTGCTCCTGCGGTTGCTACCCCTGGTGCTGCCACCCCTGCCAGTGGCATCCCTGCTGCTGCTCTGGTGACTGCAGCAGTGAGTCGGGACGGTGGAAGAGGGAACGGTGCGAGTTGGGGTGGCGGGAGTGAGGATGGGGCTGTGGGAGCCCGTGGTGTGAAGAGGAAGGCGGGTGGGGGTGAGGAGGGAGAGGGGAGTGCAGGGCATTCGGGAGGAGCAGGGAAAGGGTCAGGGAAGAGCATGCGTGTGGGGGGGGAGGTGCTAGTGGGGCAAGGAGGAGGTCACAATGGGGCCTGTGGGGATAGTGGGGCGGGAGGGGGTAGTGGGGCAGGTGGGGAGAAACGGGAGCAGGCAGGATTTGAAGAAGGTGGTGAGATGGGTGTTGGAGGAGCGGAGAAGCAAGTGTGCGGAGAGCAAGGCGAGAACGCCGGTGCGGTGGGAAGTGGTGGCGATGACATAAAGATGGGCGGCGTTTTCTCAGAAGACACGCTTGATGCGAGTGGGAGGGAGGGGGTGAGAGAAGGTGGGGGGACAGCGGTGGAGGGAGAAAAGGAAGCAGCAAAGGAGGGTGGGAAAGTGCAGAGTGAGGCAGAGAGGCGGGCACTGGAGCTGCTAGCAAGGCGTGGACTGGGGGAGGCGGATCTGAAGGCGCTGGGGGAGATGAGACTGGGCGTGGGGGGCAGGCGGGGGCGAGGCAGAGCCAGAGGGGGGAGCAGAGGCGGTGGGGGGATGGAGAGGGGCGGTGGACGGGGGGCGAGGGAGGGGGGAGGTGGCAGGGAGCAAGGCGAAGGGAAGGTGGCAGTGCCTGCTTCTCGTAGTGATGCTGCTGCTGCTGTCGTTGCTGCTGTTACTGCTGCTACTGGCGGACCTGCCGGTGCTGTTACTGTTGGTGGTGCTGCGGGTGGCAGTGGAGGCGAGTTTGAGCTGTTGCTGCGTCTGCCAGACGACATGCGGCCACAGGTGCCAGTCAACCTGCACAGCCGCGTCCCCACACCCATCCGCCAGGTATGCCCCTCCGCCAGGTGCGCTGCGCCCATCCGCCAGGCTGCAGTGCAGCCCAATGCGTAGCTGGTGCTTGCTTCACCCTAGCCGCTGGTGCCCTTTGCATTCACATCGTTTTCCTTCACACCGTTCGTTAAAGCCACAACGGCCTTCCCCTCTCTTTACCACCTCTCTCCCACATCTTCCCCTCATTCCCTCCCTTCTTCCCCCGTCCTACCCCATCACCACTGTCACCTCCGCAGAGGCACGTGAGCCTGTGGGTGAATCACCACCTGCGGGCCGTCCCAGCAAGTACCATCGGGCGCAACGACGAGACGTGGGCAGCGATAGCAGCGGGGGTGGCAGCAGAGAGGACGCTCTTCACCCAGGCAGCCAACAAGCGCGCCTACCTCTCCCTCTCTGCCCGCGCCCTCGCTTCCGCTCCCACCAACCTCAACTCTCCGTTTCCCTCCTCCATTCTCGCCGCTGCTCCCGCTGTTGCTTCTGTGGGTTCTTCAGCCGGAGCTGCATCGTCCCCATCCAAAGCTGCAGGTTCGGCAGCTAGCTTTGTGGATGAGGCTAGGCCGATTTCCATAGCTGATGCGTTGGCTCGGGCATCGGTGGCTCGGGCCCTCCGAGCCACAGGCTTGGATGGGCCGTCACCTCCGGGATCTCCTGAGAGGGAGGATGCAGGACAGGATAGGGGGAAGCAGGGGGACGGAGGCAGTAGTGCGAGCCCTGTGGTGCCATCGCAACCTGCTGCTGCCGTGCACACAGGCAGGGGGCGTGACAATGTGGAGTGTGATTCTAAAGTGGGTATAGGAAAGGGTGAAGGGGCTAAGGGCAGGGTGCAGGGAGAGCAGCAAGGAGGGGGGGCAGAGATACGGAGAGCAGCAGGCAAGAGTACCGGCGCAGCAGTGGGCGATGGTGGTCAGAAGAGCGAGCAGGGCGAGCAGGGGCGGGTGGAAGGCGCATGGCAGGGGGGACAGGAGGGGCTGGGGGAGAGGAGGCAAGTGGGGGGCGGGGCGAGTGGGGCAGCGATGGTGGAGGCAGTGCCAGCCCCTGGAGGGGGGGAGGGCGATGCAGGGGAGGTGCTGGATGGGGACTGTGGGGCCAGTGCAGGTGTATGTGGGGGAGGTGGGACCCTCGGCAGTGAGTGGAGCGAGGGGCGTGCCGAGAAGGCCTTTCCTGTGGGGCAATTGGGAACAGTAGCTGCTCACACGTCTGCTCCTCCTCTTGCTGCCACTGCTTCTACTGTTGCTGTTTCTGCAGCTGCCGGTGGTGCGGGTGGGAGTGGCAGTGAGGGGGCAGGAAGGGGTGTGGTGGGCGAGGGGGGAGGCGGGCCGAGCAGCAGCGCCGCACTGCCAGCTGGCAGCACCGCCGTGCCAGCTGGCAGCACTGCTGAGTCAGCCCAGCAGAGACACGGGAGGAAAGACCCCGTTTTAAACCAGGTACATCCCTGCCCCTTCTCCTTCTCGCCATCACCCCTTTCCCCACGCTCCCCCACCCCTTTCCTCGTTTCCTTTCTTCTATCCCCACCCCTCTCTCGGCTCTTCTTCATGACTGCATGCCCACCTTGTCCTGCCATCCACATGCCTGCCATCCACATGCCTGCCATCCACATGCCTGCCATCCACATGCCTGCCATCCACATGCCATCCATCAACATGCCATCCATCAACATGCCATCCATCAACATGCCATCCATCCACATGCCATCCATCCACATGCCATCCATCCACATGCCTGCCACCTTGTCCTGCCATCCACATGCGTGCCTCACATCTGCCCTCCCCCCACCCCTTCCCGAGTAAAAGAAGAGAGCATACGTGGAGCCTGACTGAGATGCATTACCCTGCCTGTTCCCCATGTGAGCAGGTGGAGGTGTTTATCCGCGAGCATCTGCGCCCCTTGGAGCGCAGCGGAGTGATAAGTGCAGAGCAGCGGCGCTGGGTAGCGAGCAAGGCGGCGGGGAAGGTGATGGAGCGGCACGGGGGGGCGCGGTCAGCCGCCTTCCTCGTGAAGGAGGGCGAGGACGTGCGGCGCCTGGCAGAGCGCTACCTGCGCACCTACCACGTGCGCTTTTCTAATGGGGGAACCGCACCCACATCCTCCTCCTCCTCCCCACCGGCTGGCTGACCTGGTGAAGGTGATCAATGGGACGTGCGGCGCCTGGCAGAGCGCTACTTGCGCACCTACCACGTGCGCTTCTCCACCAGCAACAAGGGCAATGCGCCCCTGCCCTCGTCCTCCTCCTCCCCGCCGGCTGGCTGACCCCCGCTGCCACGTCCACCCACCCGGTGCGGTGCATTCATACGACGTGCGGGGCTTGGCACGGCACTACCTGCACACGTGATTGATAGCACTACCTGCACACGTGATTGATAGCACTACCTGCACACGTGATTGATAGCACTACCTGCACACGTGATTGATAGCACTACCTGCACACGTGATTGATAGCACTACCTGCACACGTGATTGATAGCACTACCTGCACACGTGATTGATAGCACTACCTGCACACGTGATTGATAGCACTACCTGCACACGTGATTGATAGCACTACCTGCACACGTGATTGATAGCACTACCTGCACACGTGATTGATAGCACTACCTGCACACGTGATTGATAGCACTACCTGCACACGTGATTGATAGCACTACCTGCACACGTGATTGATAGCACTACCTGCACACGTGATTGATAGCACTACCTGCACACGTGATTGATAGCACTACCTGCACACGTGATTGATAGCACTACCTGCACACGTGATTGATAGCACTACCTGCACACGTGATTGATAGCACTACCTGCACACGTGATTGATAGCACTACCTGCACACGTGATTGATAGCACTACCTGCACACGTGATTGATAGCACTACCTGCACACGTGATTGATAGCACTACCTGCACACGTGATTGATAGCACTACCTGCACACGTGATTGATAGCACTACCTGCACACGTGATTGATAGCACTACCTGCACACGTGATTGATAGCACTACCTGCACACGTGATTGATAGCACTACCTGCACACGTGATTGATAGCACTACCTGCACACGTGATTGATAGCACTACCTGCACACGTGATTGATAGCACTACCTGCACACGTGATTGATAGCACTACCTGCACACGTGATTGATAGCACTACCTGCACACGTGATTGATAGCACTACCTGCACACGTGATTGATAGCACTACCTGCACACGTGATTGATAGCACTACCTGCACACGTGATTGATAGCACTACCTGCACACGTGATTGATAGCACTACCTGCACACGTGATTGATAGCACTACCTGCACACGTGATTGATAGCACTACCTGCACACGTGATTGATAGCACTACCTGCACACGTGATTGATAGCACTACCTGCACACGTGATTGATAGCACTACCTGCACACGTGATTGATAGCACTACCTGCACACGTGATTGATAGCACTACCTGCACACGTGATTGATAGCACTACCTGCACACGTGATTGATAGCACTACCTGCACACGTGATTGATAGCACTACCTGCACACGTGATTGATAGCACTACCTGCACACGTGATTGATAGCACTACCTGCACACGTGATTGATAGCACTACCTGCACACGTGATTGATAGCACTACCTGCACACGTGATTGATAGCACTACCTGCACACGTGATTGATAGCACGTGCGCTTCTCCAAGCCCCCCCCGCACCCTCCTCCTCCCCACAGGCCGGCTGGGGGTTAAGAGGCTGAGCGTTGGAGACGGTGCTGCATGCGGCTGGCTTGTGATGGGAGGTTGAGAGTGTGGAGGGGGGCAATGCGATGATGGCTGCTTTGTCTGCAGGTGATTCTCATCACTATGGTTTGCGAGGGTGCATGTTGTGGTGTGGTGCCCTGCAGAGGCAGTGCAGCAGCAAAGCCTGGATTGCAGAGGTGATCCACTATGCGCCCTGCTGGATTGCAGATCTACGAATTAGATTCGCGTGCCATGGAAAATCTCATGGCGCTTCGAGATGAATTTTTGTTCAGCATCTCTTATTGTATAAGTGGTATAATAGTATATCGCATTATCAATCATCACTCGTCATTGTTTTGTAACGCGCCATCTGTATAGCCGTACGGAATGATCAAACGTTCCAGAAGCAGCATTCACGCGAGTGTCGATCCAGGAAGTGAATCCAGCCAGTCCTGCAGCATTCTGTCCGCATACCACGCACTCTCCCGACGCCGAGTCGCCTTCTCCCTCGTTCCTCGCTCCCCCCTCCCTCCTCGCGCTCCACGCTCCTTGCCCCTTGCTCCTTCTCTCGCCGCGCCGCATGGCGCGTGCCAATCGCGCATCGCCGCCTCCTTCCGCCATCCTGCGCTCGTCGTCGCGCCGCGTGCGCCTGATATTGCTCGTCGCCCTCCTCGCCTCCTCCGCAGCTTCCGCCTCGCATCCATCCGACGGCAGCGATGCCAATGACGCCTCGCGCTCGAGCATTGCCGCCGCCGCCGCCGCAGCAGCCGCCGCGGATGGCAGCATGGCGGACGCGGGAATGGGATTAGGGATAGCGGATCGGTTTGTGTCTACTGAGGATCTCCCGGCGGCGAATGCGGCGACAGATGCGGCGACCAATGCGGCGAGAGATGCGGCGACTGACGCGGCGGGGCAGGCGAAGTTTGATCCGAAACTGGCGGGAGTCGAGGAGGAGGAGCGATTGGTGGACGAGCTGCTGACGTGGCTGGAGGAGAGAGGCGTGACTGGGATCCGAGGGGAGGAGGCTGCTGTGGAGGTGAGGCGATGGGGGCTGTGTGGGTGATTGCCCTGACTCAGAAATTTGGTAATGTGGAGAGAATGATGAATTCTCATGAACGCGATGAGCGGATGTGTGGAGTGGTGGAGGCTGGGAAGAGGTGGTGCAGTGAGGTACTGGAGAGGGGCGTGTGCTCATTCCACCTCTGCTGCTTGCAAGCGTGCCGATTTCCTGCCACACCCTCTTCGCGCCTTCCACTCGCCACAACTCATGAACATTTCTGCTCTCTTCTCCCCTGCCGCCCTTACCCTTGCCGGCCTTGCTGCACGCGTGCAGGTATTTATAGACGCCAACACCACTCTCAAGGCGTCCGGCAGGTCAAGGTGAGTCAACGCCAGTCAACGCACGTCAAGGTGAGCGAGTGGGAGAAACACACAGACCAAACAAGCAAGCGTTGATTCAAAGGCGGGAAAGGCGGCTGGTTGCAGTCGTGGATTTCCAGTTAACGCCTGGCGTGTCATCCTGTTTCCCCATGCTGCGCATTGCCGTCCTCTGCATCACATGTCAGCCGGCCACTTGTTCCCAAATCACTTCCCTCCTCTCCCATCCGTCCTCCCCTCGTGGGCACCGCCACGGGGAATGGTCGCATGCTGCCTCATCTCATCTCATCTCATCTCATCTCATCTCATCTCATCTCATCTCATCTCATCTCATCTCATCTCATCTCATCTCATCTCATCTCATCTCATCTCATCTCATCTCATCTCATCTCATCTCATCTCATCTCATCTCATCTCATCTCATCTCATCTCACCATTTTCCCGTTTTCCCCTCCGCCCCCTCCTCCCCCTTCTTCCCGCTCCTCCCTCTTTCCCCTTCCTTCCCCCCCGCCCCACCGTCAGGGCGAATCTGGGCATGGTGGCGCGGCGCCCCATCGCGGAGGGCGAGGTGTTTCTGTCGCTGCCTCGCTCGCTCGCCATCTCGGCCCTTCAAGCGCAGGAGGAGGCAAAGCCGTACGAGGGGGAGGTGAGAGGGCTTTTTCTCACCGTGTTGGGCGAGAAGCCTCGTCTCTGACAGCCTGTGTGGTGACCAACCGAATGTAGGAGGGAGAGGTGAGAGGCTGAGGAGTGCGGGACCGAGCAGCCTCCTCTCTGACAGCCTCCTCTCTGACAGCCTCCTCTCTGACAGCCTCCTTGGTCACCCATCACTGTAACTTCTTCCCCCCGCAACTCTTGATCCCATCCCTGTCTGCACCCCTATCCGCATACCCGACACATGCATGCGCCCTTCACCGTAGTACCATACCACCCTCTTTCCCCCCCCCCCCCCCCCCCCACAGGTGCATCCATTCACGGCGCTGGCGGCGTGGGTGCTGAGGGAGCGGGGCAAGGGGCGCGCGTCCCTGTGGGCGCCGTTCGTGCGCCTGCTGCCCGCCCACCTGCCCTTCCCCCACCTCTTCCGCGATGAGCTGGTGCCCGAGCTGCAGTATGACGTCATGCTGGCTGAGGTGAGGGCGGGGCAGTGAGGGGCTGGATGGCTGTGTGACAGCGTGGGGGAATGTGGATGGCTGTGTGACAGCGTGGGGGAATGTGGATGGCTGTGAATGTGACCTCCGGTCAGTGACCTCCAGTCAGTGGGCTCCAGTCAGTGAGCACCGGCACATGAGCAGCAGCACGTGCGGCAGCGCGAGTGCATGACAGCGCTAGTGCGCAAGTGAGCACCAGCGCGTGAGCACCAGCCCGGGATAGGAGTATGGCTGTATTGGTGTGAGAGGGGGGTCCTCCTGCTGCTCCAATGCACATGCCACAATCAACCTCACATCCTGCGCTGCCGAGGTACCTCTAGATCTTCCCCTGCTCTGCCTCCCCTGCCCTGTCTCCCATCCCATGTCATCTCCTCTTTCCCTCTCCCGTGCTGCGCACAGGTCACGGAGCACAAGAAGGCGCTCCTGCAAGAGTACAACAAGTGCCGCCCAGAGGCCATCGCCAACGCCACCCAGGAGGAATTCTTCTGGGCGGCAGGGATCGTCACTTCCCGCATGTTTGCGTTGAGGCCTGCTGAAGCAGCAGAGCGAGAGGACAAGGGTAAGGAGGGGGAGGGGCAGGGCGAGGAGGAGCGGCAGGAGGCGGACATATCGCTGGTGCCATATGGGGACCTCTTTGACACTGATGACGTACCCATCGCCATCTGGCAGGTCAGTATTTTGCCACGTGGCAGCCATCCAGTCTTGAGGGCATTCGTGCAGCCACACCTCACGCCTCCCTCTCCACCCCCTCTTCCCCTCTCTCCCAACCTCTTTAACCCCACCAGGACACGGGCAGCAGCATAGAGTTCACAGCGTTAACGGACATACCAGCGGGGCAGCACGTGGCGGTGCACTACGGGGAGCTGAGCAACGACGAGGCGCTGGTGATGCGCGGCATGGTGCTGGGCGGCAACTACCGCGACCACGTGCACCTCTTCTCCTCGCCGCAGGACGCCCTTCGCTTCCACGTCGACAAGTTCCTGCGCGGCTATGGCCACACGCTGGAGCGGGTGAGTTCCTGCGCGGCTATGGCCACACGCTGGAGCGGGTGAGTTCCTGCGCGGCTATGGCCACACGCTGGAGCGGGTGAGTAGACGGCGGTGGGGGGAAGGGGGCTGCTGCTTGTGTGGGTTGTTGCATGTGTGGAGGTGGGCGCGTGGTGCTGCTGTGAGGGCAGAAAGACTCACTCGTGGTAGATGGATGGTGCTGCCAGCTGTGACTCGTGTGCACTCATTGCATCCACTGCACCAGCTGCACCCCTGCCTTGAGAGGTCTGCCAAGGCGGACCGGCTTGACCTTCATTCCATGCTGCTCTCCTGAGCACCACTCGTTTCACAAACTCAATTCCCAAGCGTATCTCTCCCCACGCGTCCCACAGACGCCCCTGCAGGGCACGTTTGAGCGCGTGGAGGCAGAGCTGCAGAAGCAGGCGGCAGCACCGCAGTACGAGGGTGTGGCGCAGCGCTATGAGTACCGCATGGCACCCGGCAGCCCCCTGTCCGCGTGGTTCGGCGGGCGGTTTGACCCGCGCCTGCTGGGCATCTTCACTGCGCTGCACGCCCTCGTCGTCAACAACCGCAGTGCGTGCTCTCCCTGCCTTCCATTCCCTCCATGCCCCTCCCTGCCCTCCATGCCCCTCCCTGCCCTCCCTGCCCCTCCCTGCCCTCCATGCCCCTCCCTGCCCTCCATGCCCCTCCCTGCCCTCCATGCCCCTCCCTGCCCTCCATGCCCCTCCCTGCCCTCCATGCCCCTCCCTGCCCTCCATGCCCCTCCCTGCTCTCCATGCCCCTCCCTGCCCTCCATGCCCCTCCCTGCCCTCCCTGCCCCTCCCTGCCCTCCATGCCCCTCCCTGCCCTCCATGCCCCTCCCTGCCCTCCATGCCCCTCCCTGCCCTCCCTGCCCCTCCCTGCCCTCCATGCCCCTCCCTGCCCTCCATGCCCCTCCCTGCCCTCCATGCCCCTCCCTGCCCTCCATGCCCCTCCCTGCCCTCCATGCCCCTCCCTGCCCTCCCTGCCTTCCCTGCCCTCCATGCCCCTCCCTGCCCTCCATGCCCCTCCCTGCCCTCCATGCCCCTCCCTGCCCTCCATGCCCCTCCCTGCCCTCCCTGCCTTCCCTGCCCTCCATGCCCCTCCCTGCCCTCCATGCCCTCTCTCCCTCTCTTCTGCCTGCTGGGCATCTTCACGGCGCTGCACCGCCTTGTCAAACCTGATCTCCAACCTGACGTCAAACCTGATCTCCAACCTGACGTCAAACCTGATCTCCAACCTGACATCAAACCTGATCTCCAACCTGACGTCAAACCTGATCTCCAACCTGACGTCAAACCTGATCTCCAACCTGACGTCAAACCGGATCTCCAACCTGACGTCAAACCTGATCTCCAACCTGACGTCAAACCTGATCCCCAACCTGACGTCAAACCGGATCTCCAACCTGACGTCAAACCTGATCTCCAACCTGACGTCAAACCTGATCTCCAACCTGACGTCAAACCTGATCTCCAACCTGACGTCAAACCGGATCTCCAACCTGACGTCAAACCGTATCTCCAACCTGACGTCAAACCTGATCTCCAACCTGACGTCAAACCTGATCTCCAACCTGACGTCAAACCGGATCTCCAACCTGACGTGAAACCTGATCTCCAACCTGACATCAAACCTGATCCCCAACCTGACGTCAAACCGGATCTCCAACCTGACGTCAAACCTGATCTCCAACCTGACGTCAAACCTGATCTCCAACCTGACGTCAAACCTGATCTCCAACCTGACGTCAAACCGGATCTCCAACCTGACGTCAAACCGGATCTCCAACCTGACGTCAAACCTGATCTCCAACCTGACGTCAAACCTGATCTCCAACCTGACGTCAAACCTGATCTCCAACCTGACGTCAAACCGGATCTCCAACCTGACGTGAAACCTGATCTCCAACCTGACGTCAAACCTGATCCCCAACCTGACGTCAAACCGGATCTCCAACCTGACGTCAAACCTGATCTCCAACCTGACGTCAAACCCGATCTCCAACCTGACATCAAACCTGATCTCCAACCTGACGTCAAACCTGATCTCCAACCTGATTTCCAACCTGACGTCAAACCTGATCTCCAACCTGACGTCAAATCTGATCTCCAACCTGACGTCAAACCTGATCTCCAACCTGACATCAAACCTGATCTCCAACCTGACGTCAAACCTGATCTCCAACCTGACGTCAAACCGAATCTCCAACCTAACGTCAAACCGAATCTCCCTGCCCTTCCCCCCCCTATCCTCCCACGCATTCCTCCCTCCTCTTTCTCATTGGCTGATCTGCCTTCCCTTGAACACCCCTCTGCCTGCATGCCAAGTCCCTTGCTCTTGTCTTGCCTGCTCATATCAGTCAGATGAACCGCAATCAACTTTCAAAACAACATTCTCTTCTATCATTTCTCCCTCTGTCCCTCCTCCCACTTTTCCTGTTCCATGGGAGCAGAGCCGGATCTGAGCCAGGTGGCACAGGTGTCGCTGCTGTACGGGTGGATGAAGGACCCCAAGACCACCTGCGATGACCTGGCGCGCCTCGTGGACGATGACGTGTCGGACGCGGTGCCGCCAGCTGGCAACGTGCTGGTGGAGCGAGGGCAGCAGCTGCTCAAGGAGTTCCCCACCACCCTGGGGGAGGACCTGCACCTGTGGCGCCAGGTCAATGTGTGCAAGGCGCGGGTGCTGTTCGGTGCGGTGGAGGGCGGTGAGCGGGGTGATACGGGTGATGGGGAGGGTGCGGATGCGGTGCAGTGCGGTGCGGAGTATGTGAGGGAACTGGGCGAGTGGGAGGTGATTCTTCGGTATCGTATGATGAAGAAGTACATTCTCAGGCACCTTGTGGGCCGCCTCCTGCACACCTGTGAAAACTAACAACTTTGCCATGGCCTCGTGTATCATGCTGCAGTTGATTGGTGCATGTTCCTGTCAAATAATTTGGTACACATTTGCTGTTCAAGCATCTTATGGGATGGACTTGCTGCTCATTATGAGCTAGTGCTGTTGAGTCAAGCCGCAATGCGTTTGGCATGTGAGAGCAGAGTTGTGAAGTGGGCAGGGACAGTGGAGCAGAGTAAGGCAGTGGCTGACAGGAGTGGAGGATTCATTTTCATGGGAGGAGAGGCAGGCTATTGAGCCACACTAGACAGGGTGTGCAATACTTGTGTCATGTATGTGATGTGAAGGCTAACAAAACATTAAAAGGATGGTCAAAATTTACACAGATTTAGACAGGATGCTACCCCTGTGACTCCAACCAGCTAGTCCCTCCCTCCGCGCATCGCCTCTCCCCGCACCAGCCGCTGCAGCATTGGTGAGCGCGTCTCACAGCGCCTTGAGAATGTCTTCGGCGCTGCTGTTGGTGAACGCGCCGCCCTCCTCCAGGTTGAGCACGGTCACGACGCCGTCGTCCGCCAGGAGCGCGTACCGCCGCGACCGCACGCCCAGCCCCTTGTCCGCCAGATCCAGGCTCGCGCCCAGCGCCGCCGTGTACACGCCGCTGCCGTCCGCGAGCAGCAGCACCTTGCCGGCGGCGTTGACGGATTCGCCCCAGGCGCGCATGACGAAGGGGTCGTTGACGGAGACGCAGGCGATGGTGTCGACGCCCTTGGCGCGCAGCTCGTCCGCCTTGGCGATGAACCCCGGCAGGTGCTTTTGCGAACACGTCGGCGTGAACGCGCCCGGCACCGCGAACAGCACCACCTTCTTGCCCTGCGCGGAGGGGGGAGGGGAAGGGGGAGGGGAAGGGGGAGCGGGAAATTGGGGAAAGGGGTGTGAGGGTGGGTGCAAAGAAGGAAGTGGGGCGGGAATTCAACGCGGATGGGGGGGAACGACGAGGGCGGATTGTGGTTCGCAAAGGTTGGAGTGACGCGTGACGCGATGGACGCGAGTGAGAAGATTGAGCAGCCATTGCGTTCGTGCACGCATTAATGCTCATGCGTTGGAGCATTGTCACAGTTCCCGATGAATTGTGGGCTCGACGACGAGGTGACTCGACGACGCAGCTGCGACACTCATGCGCCCGTTCAATTTCAATTCCATCGCAACATAAATCCAACACCGAGGATGCGGTATCCGCGTTATACACACCTTGGTGAGTGACTCGATAGTGATGGTCTGAAGCGCGCCCTCAGCGTCGAAGTAGGAGAGGCTGCCGTCGGGCAGCTTGTCGCCGACCTTGATCGTCGCAACGGTCGCCATGTGTCGCCGAGTCGTCTGACCGTGAGCAGGCGTCGCAGAGCGTCGGACGTCGCGGAGGCGAGCGCCGGAGAATCCGACGGCTGGGGTACCCTGCTTGAAGGAGGCAGCGGCTGTGTGGAGGGCGGAGGAGCGCGAGATACGCGCGGCACACGCGGCACCGGTCAGTCGCAGGGCAGAGGACAAGGTGGCGGCAGCCATAGCTGAACGAGGGATGAAGTGAGCGGAGCGAGGCGAAGAAGGGGAGGCGACTGACCTGAGGAGTGAGGAACGGAGATCTTGAATGGAGCGAACGGAATGTCGGGAAAATCAAGAATGGCTCCAGATATGGATGAAATTGTGCTGGTGCATTGCTCTCGGCTTGGGTGCGAATGAACGAAATGTGACCAAGGAACCGAGGCAGGCATGTCCTGCTTGCCCACATGATCGGATTCAGGAACTCGTTCATTCAAAAGCTGACGTGTCAGTGCCACGCTGTCGCTGCCTGGATGGCAGCAACTGAGGCTTGCCGCGTGGCTCCATGTGACAGAGATACCAGTTCAATGTGCACGTGTCTGAGCAATCGATGCCGAAAGGAGCGGGTGCGTGAAGCTTGTGAAGACATAATACTCGGTAAAAGGAACGCATGTAAACATAAACACAGTTTGTAGATGAAGATACTCGATATACAGCTGGCAAGAAATTGCACATACTGCATTCACCTTACATGCTAGACCTAGCCTACTGTACACAATCTAATAGTCATTGTGACCCTAAGAACTCCATCAGCGTTTGGACATATTGCTCCGAATGAGTCTGAAGCACCTCATTGCCGGCTGAATTTATGTGGTAGTACTTTCCCTTGCCCATCCTTGACGCTGCCATCATTGTCTCAAACTGGAATGGGTCGTCACAGCCCGCCAGGCACAGCACGGGCTGTTGCACCTTGTCCAGCAGATCCCCGTGGTCCACTGCTGCATGCGCCTTGGCGAGCAAGTGGCGCGTGGGCAGTGACTGAAGGCCCTCCATCACCGCTTCAACCTGAGGGGTGGAGAGGTCATGGGAGAACAAAAAACGCAGGACAACGCATGAGCACAGTATCAGGCGATGCAAGAAAAAGAGCAGGAAAAAGGTTGTGCAGAAACTGTTTCCGGTGGTTTATGGGCGAGGGGAGGTGACTTACGAGTTGATGAAGAGGCACATGGTGGGCTGTACTGCGCATCAGCATCTGCTGCACTGCCACCGCCACCACGCTCTGTGGAGCAGCAGCCGCCCCACCATCCTCATCCCCACCCCCCGCGCTTATTGCCTGCACTGCGGCTGCGAGCTGCTTGGAGCGCTCGTCCTGCGGCATGACGCCCCACAGCCCCACCCGCCTCACCCGCGCGGGGAACACGGCCGCCATCTGCAGCGCCAAGCTCGCCCCGAATCCATGACCCACCTGCAGCATGGAGAGGAGCCAGGGGATTGCGAGGCATGGATGGAGCGCGGGAAGGACAACAGATGGGGGACTGGGTGAGGAGGCGAACGGACGATGTTACGGCCAGGTGCACTTTGTATGGACGAGAGAAAAAAAAAAAAAAAAAAAAAAAAAAACAGCAGCGAATGACGAGCAGATGTGTTGCAGGGAGCAGGGAATTGCGATGAGAGAGCACCCACAAGGTCAAAGCGTTGAGCGAAGCCGACGTTGATGGCGGCGGCGACGGCGATGGCGCCCATCTCCAGCATGCTGTAGTCGCGACACGCCGCCGTCGTCTCGCCGCACCCCGGCAGATCCACGGCCAGCGCGCAACACCCGCGCGCCGCCAGCAGCGGCAGCACAGGCGCCCACATGGCGGACGAACGTCCAGCGTCGTGCAACAGCACCACCGGATGGCCTGACCCGCACCTGCACGGATCACAGGCACGATGGTATGAGACCCACGCTCTTATAGGGGACAGAAATATTTTGGAAACGTCAGTTATCTCGCGAGAGTGGCGTACCTGCGGTAGTGAACCTGTCCGCGCGGTGTTGTCGCATACCCCTTGACGACTGCCGCTGCCTCCGCGGGTGGCATGGCCTGCTCACCCTCCGACTGACTCGCTGCCTGCACCGCTTCTCGTTGCCGCGCACCGTCCGGAGTCGCAGGCTCGCTGGAGCACCTTAATCGCTCGTTGTCGCCCGTTCTAACGCCGACCCTCACGCTGCTGCGTTGCGAATCCATGCTACTACCTGCAGACTCACTCCGCCCTACAAAAGCCCGATGGTTAGCGGGAACCAGGTGGTTTGAAAGGAAATCCCCGGCACTGCTGCCGCTGTCATCCCGCTCGCTGTCCGTTCGCGGCCGTTTCGACACCCTACGGTCATCCGACGCTTCCCGGGAGTGACCCCGCGCCGAGGCACGCGCGGACGGCGAAACATCCAAAATCCCGCGGTCGCAGGGAGTGAGGGATGTCCGAGAGGCGGTGATGACTTGATCCATGGAGGACGCGGAGCAGCTGACTCTTGAACTCGGGGAAGGGCAACGCGAATCACGGATTCCGACTGCACAAGCTTGGGATAAGATAATTCAGATTTGGAAGGCAAACATGGTTGCGTGACAAGGAGGTTCGCAAAGTGTGACGACGCCAGTGTTTGGAAGCTGGAAGAGAGTGAATTGCAGAGATAAGGGCGGTGGAGGTGCTGCAGCAACAATGTCTCGAATGTAGGTAGGGTTCATGCAGGTAGAATAGCTCACATGCTATCTCAGGCTGTTCTGATCTGATGGCAATCAGTGAGACACAACTCTCTCTGCCCAACTGCTGCAAGGAAAAGCGTGGTGCGCTGTCGCGTGCCTTGATTGCGCGTGCAGCATTCTGCTGCTCTATGTGGCTGGGATGAAGGGAAGAGGCGCAGCAAGTGGCTGGCGAGGGGTCACTCAACTCAACACAACCTCCAATTTCCCTGGTGGGAGTGGCTGATTTAAGTTTGTCCCAGGAACCATCCAGACGGCTCCCCATACTTCTGCGAGTGTGTCCGATTAGGAAGGAATGATGTGGAAATACGAAGCTTTGCCACACAAACTGGGGTTCTCTAAGGGTCAGTCTGAATAAAATTCTATCGCATGTACTTGGGCTCTAGAAGTGTGTCTCTCACTACCGCCCATGGCCACTGAAACTACAGGCAAAATGACATTCTGTGAAAATAACCCCATTAAACACGTTCCCTTGACGGAACCACCTCCCGTCAAACTTCAGTGTTGCCGTCGGGACACACGAGCGTGAAATAAGGAAAAGCCAAAGCACTCTCGTCTGTCGTTCATGTGGAAATGATGAAACAGATTCACGAGATGAGCACGCGTGCCGACACTCTTGAACGCGTGTGTGGTGGGTGGTGGTGGGGGGTGGGCCAACTGTAAATTTCTCCCTTGCACAGTTTCGGTGTGAATAACCTGCCTTTACGGCCTGTGTCTGTGGGTTAGCCAAACACGGTGCGACTAAAGTAAAGCTTAATTAGAGCGGCGCATTTTATGTTCAATGTTCAGTCTGAAGATATTGAAGTTGCAAGCACCTTTCAACTCATACAGGTTGTTAGGACGTGGGCCCAATCGAGTTTGATCGCCTCGATCACACTCAAACAAGAACTTCCAGGAAGCCTGGAAGACGATTTCAGGCAATCGGGGGCAATCAGCTGATCGCTCCAACTAAATCAGGCCCAATTCTCATCCCGATCAGAGCCGATTTCCCTCGATCACAGGCGATCACCTGATTGCTTGTGATCGGCCCCCCCAGCGATGCTTGCGACTAGTTACACCGTTTCATTTACAGGGAAATGAAGATAATCGCCAGGTGACGTCTGGTCGCCAATCTCGCTAGAATGGGGACGAAAATGCCAGGCAGATGTATCGCGCTTGCTGAGCAGGCGCTGACGACCTTCTTAAAAAAAAAAACATTACTGATCGGGCGGCTCGGGCACTGCGATCACAAGCAACCCGATCAGATCCAACCCGATCAGATCAGTCGCGATCAAACTCAATTGGGCCCACGTCCTTATCTGTAGCACCCGAAATCGCCCAATGGTACACCCTGTTTCGCGCCACACTGACAATCTATGTATTGATATGCCGCCAATTCTGACATCAACGCGTCCAAAACGGTCCCAGAACATTGCATATAAGCACAACTTGCCGCACTCAACCGTACGTGATAGCAATGTTCTGTCATAAAACGTTTTGTATCGTTCAAATGGACTGCATTTGCCCGCCACCCACCTGGGGTTCGGCTGCAAGCACCAGCCCGCAAAATCTAAGCGCACGTTCGCATTGTAGCCCGGGCTCCCGATTGTCAGAAAGTTGAGAAACAGGGTGTAGCCCGAAACGTAAATTAGGCCCTGATTCGGGAATTACCTTCGGTTTTCTAGGTCACGCTTCATACACAGTTATGTACAGTTCATTGCATGAAGGATTGCGTAGTTTGGAAGAACGGGTTTCCAGAGGGTGGCGCACTGGCGCTACATGCCAAAGCTAAATTCACGCGTGCGACAACTCAAAATCCATCCAATACTTCGACCTCACCACATCAGTTTATAAATATCCAGAGTCATTTATATATATTTATCGAAAGAATTTCACATTATACACTTCGAGCCCACCAATACAGTGTCATGCTTGAGCTACTATGCTGAATAGACAGCTCCCCGCCATTGACCGCCAAGGCTGACCCCAAAGCCTTGGACTTCAAGATTTTCCCCTAAAACCTCCACAAGCCGAGATGTCTTTGCTGCCGAAATATTAACGCGTGGATTGTTGTTTAGTTAGGTCACGCAGAAAACTGCGTGCTGATTTACTAATTCCGCAGTTTACGCGTGGATACCTGCGGTTTCCCCCGCGTCAGGACTGTGCGTAAGGAGCAGCCATGGCGAAGGATAAGGGCTGGGTGGAGAAGGGGAAACGCAAGCAAGGACGAGAGTCGAAGAAACAACATGCGCAGTCCACCCGACGTTTCAGAGTGAGCCTTACTCGAAGCTAATACCTACAGCGCAATAAAATCACGCACGACCAAGTCACAACTCGTGTTCAGCAAGGTGTAATGATGCTGAAACAGCGAATAAGGCTCATCCAGCGAGAGATTATTAGGTTTGTACGTGAAGCGTGTATGAACTGCTCGCGTTTACTCAGTTAATGCTGAATCCCTACAAAATCCCCCGACATGCATGCATCCTCCTCTTGTCCCCTGACCCCTAACCCCTTGCGCGCGTGGTGCCTTGCGCGCGTTCCGCAGTTCAAGAGCTTCACGCGGCAGGTGGAGGAGGCGCAGGTGGATGTTTTCCGCTCGCTCGCGCCCGCGCAGCAGCAGCCCTCCGCCGGCTGCTCCTCCTTCTTCCAGCAGGCGCTGCTGCACTGGCGGGTCAGTCCCCGCCCGCGCCCTCCCCTTGTTTCCCCCCCCTCTCCGCCACGTCTTCTCCCCTCACACCCTCGCCTTTCTGGCTCCCATTTCTCACTCGCCGCTCCCCATGCCTCCCCGTGCGCCCCCATTCCCTCCCATGCCCCCCCATTCCCTCCCATGCCCCCCCATTCCCTCCCATGCCCCCCCATTCCCTCCCATGCCCCCCCATTCCCTCCCGTGCCACCCCATTCCCTCCCATGCACCCCCATTCCCCCCCATGCCTCACATGACCCCCCATGCCCGCCATAACGAGACTCCCCATGAACTCCCATATCCCCCGACAAACCCCCATGCCCTCCCATACCTTCTAATGCTTCCCCCCGTCGCCCATCTCCCCTCATGCCCCCCATGCCCCCGTGCCCCCCCATACCTTTCCCCCCCTCACCCCCCTCAGGAGCTGAGCGCAGCAGTGGATTTCAACGAGGTGCACAGCGAGGTGGCGCCGCTGGTGGCGTCGCTGGCGCAGCTCGTCTTCCACCGCCACCGCATCGTGCACGCGCTGCTAGCACGCCTCTCCATGCGCGCCCTCCTCTCCCTCCCACCCCTCCTCAGGTGCCCAACCCTCTCCTCTCCCCCCTTCTCCTCGCCCCCTCCCCTTCGCTGCTTTCATTTCACTCCTTGTGTATGCACGTGCCACGGCCTCTCACGTGCCACGGCCTCTCACGTGCCACGGCCTCTCACGTGCCACGGCCTCTCACGTGCCACGGCCTCTCACGTGCCACGGCCTCTCACGTGCCACGGCCTCTCACGTGCCACGGCCTCTCACGTGCCACGGCCTCTCATGTGCCACTGCCTCTCACGTGCCACGGCCTCTCACGTGCCACGGCCTCTCACGTGCCACTGCCTCTCACGTGCCACGGCCTCTCACGTGCCACGGCCTCTCACGTGCCACGGCCTCTCACGTGCCACTGCCTCTCACGTGCCACGGCCTCTCACGTGCCACGGCCTCTCACGTGCCACGGCCTCTCACGTGCCACGGCCTCTCACGTGCCACGGCCTCTCACGTGCCACTGCCTCTCACGTGCCACTGCCTCTCACGTGCCACTGCCTCTCACGTGCCACTGCCTCTCACGTGCCGCCCCTCACATGCAGCCACTAGACCCCTTCTGGTGGTGTCGACGTGGCACCAACATGTGCGTGTTCATCATTGCTCCTCCCCTCCGTCTCCCCCCTGCCCCTCTTCCCTCTCCCCTCTCCCATCTCCCCCTCTGTCCTGTGTGCTCTCCCTGCTCCCGCCTCCCCTTGCCCGTGGCCTGCTGCGTGCATGGGCACAGCCTGCTGGGCACGCTCGCGCGGGACCTGCAGCACGACTTCCTGCCGTGAGTGCTGCCACCCCCCTGCACTGCACTGCAAGGGGCATGGTGTGAGGGAGTGGCACGGGTTGGGATGTGCTGGGAATAATGTGATGTGAGGGCGTGGCGTGCTATGTGAGTAGCGGCAAGTGCTCCTCACTCATGACGCCTCTCTCTGCTAGACTAGCAATCTCGAACCCTTGTCTCCGCCTCTTCTGCTTTCCAATCACTCCTGCTGCTTGCTCTCCTGCGTGCAGCTTCCTGCCGCTCTGCCTGGACGCCTGCCTGCGTCTGCTGCAGCAAGGGGCGGACAGAGACGCCGCCGTGCTACAGCAGGTCAGCCCACGTATGCCAAACTCTTCATGCTTCTCACTAACCAACCAACCTTCGCTTTGCTGAATTCCCCCTGCCCGCCTACCTTCTCCTTGCTCCTACCCTCTGTTCTCGCCCCCCGTCCCCCCACGCCCACCCCCCCTGGTGTTGTGCAGGTGGTGGAGTGTGTGGCGCAGATGGGTAAGCACCTGCGCCACTACCTCACACCTGATATCGTCACCCTCCTCAAGTGAGCCAATTCTTTCCCTCCCCACCCCACTCCCCCCTCCTCTCTCGCTGCATGGCCCTCGCGCTCCGCCCCATCTCATTTCTCACCATTGCACACCCCCCCTCCTCCTCCCCAACCCCTTCACCACCTCATCCCCTATGACTGCCCCCTCGTGCCCTCTCTTCTGCCCCCTTTCTCCCCACTCTCCCCCACTCCCCTCACCCCTCCCCCCAACAGGATGACCAAGGCACTGCGGTTCTACCCGGCGGACTATGTGCGCGAGCTGGTGGCGCACAGCCTTGCCTTCGTGCTGCGCACCGCCCCGCCCAAACAGATGGCCCGCGGTGCGCACAACGGGGCAGTGGGATTGGAAATGGGGATGGGGATGGGGATGGGGATGGGCATGGTGGGGTGGGGGCCCGAGTGTGAGGGGCATGGCAGTCGCTGGAAGACGTGGGGAAGGTCTGTGTGAGAGGGATGCGCTGATTAACACAGGAGCAGATCAGATTAAGGAGGTAGCGAAGGAGGTTGGCAGAGTGGGAGGGTAGCAGAGAAATGGATGCATGGGACAGGGATTGTTGTCGTGCCAGAGATGCCATGCCTGCTGTTGCCACCCATCGTCTGTTCCATCTCTTGTGTAGCTTGGAATTCACTCCCTATTCTCTCCATCTTCTTCCCACTTTCCCGTGCTTCAAACCCTCCCTCAACTCCCCCAGGCGTGCGGTGGGTGCTGGCAGAGGCGAGGGCGGTGGCGTGTGAGGAGAGGGAGAGCGGGGTGGCGCTGCTGCTGGCCAATGCAGCCAAGGGCCCCGCGCACTCGCTGCACTCCAAGGCCGCGCCCCTGCTGCTGCGCCTGCTGCTGCTGCCCTCCTCTCTGCGCCCCCCCGCGCTGCTGCTGCTGCAGGGCCAGCGAGGTGAGCCTATTGCGTGGGTGGGTGGGTGGGTGAGGCGACAAGTGAGGTGGGGGGACGTGTGTTGTGCTGTGGGGCGAATGGGTGTGTTGTGCTGTGGGGCGAATGGGTGTGTTGTGCTGTGGGGCGAATGGGTGTGTTGTGCTGTGGGGCGAATGGGTGTGTTGTGCTGTGGGGCGAATGGGTGTGTTGCTGTGGGGCGAATGGGTGTGTTGTGCTGTGGGGCGAATGGGTGTGTTGTGCTGTGGGGCGAATGGGTGTGTTGCTGTGGCCGCTGGGGCTGTGTGGCCGCTGGGGCTGTGTGGCAAGCCTTTTGATCTGATGGCGCTCGTGGCAGGTCCCATGATGGTTGAAGAACGTGGGTGACACATGGTGAGGTGACACGCTGGCGCAGCACTGCCCACACAGCAAACCCCCTTCCTCCCCATTCCCCCCTCCTTCTGTGTCCCCCTCCTTCTGTGTCCCCCTCCTTCTGTGTCCCCCTCCTTCTGTGTCCCCCTCCCCGTGTCACCCATCCCCTGTCATTCCCTCCAGCTGCTGGTGCTGCTGACGTGGCGCTGACAGTTGTCACACGTGTGATACGCCTGCTTGCCGCCCACCTCACTCCCGCCACTGCCGGCCCTCTCCTCTCCCTGCTCCTCACAACCGCCTCACAAGCTGTGCAGGGGGGGCGGGATGGGGGCAAGGGAGGCGCGGGTGGGGAGGATGAGGGCAAAGGAGAGGAGCAAGGGGATGGGGAAGAGGGCGAGGAGGGGGGCGAAGGGAAGGAGGGTGGTGTGAGTGGGGGCGGGGGGCGATGGGAGGAGGCGCGGCGGATAGCGGACGTGGTTCACTTGCTGAATGCAGCGCTGCAGCACCGACGAGGCATGCTGGTCACCCACCTCTCCCCCTTCGTCTCTCTCTCCCTCTCCCTCGCCTCCCACCCTCTCCTCCTCGCCTCCCTCCGTTCCTCCTCCTCCCCCTCGCTCCCCCTCCCTGCCCCTCCTCGCTGCTCTCAGCAGCAGCAGGAAAATGGGGAGGGGGAGACGGGGGAGGGCGTGGGGGGAGCAGCAGGCACAGCGGGGGATGCAGGGGAGGGGGAGGATGCAGGAAGGGAGGGGGATAAGGTGCAGCACGAGGTGGTGAGGGAGGTGATGCTGCTGCTGCTGGGGGTGATGAGGAGGGAGCGGAGGAGGAAGGCAGGCCAGGGAGGGGAGGGGCAGGAGCGGGGAGGTGAAGGCGAGGTGGAGGGGGAAGGGGAGGGGGAGATAGCGCGGGCGGTGCCGCGGTGGGAGGTGCTGTTTGACTGCTGCAATGACACCCTGTGAGTGCCGCTGCCATTGGTATAATATGCTGGCAATCATCCTCTCCTTGTTCCATTTAACCATCCAAGGTTTTTATGCTCTTCCTGACTCACTGTATGCAACGAGTTTCATCCTCCCCTCTCCTCCTCCGCTCCCACCCCTCCCCTCCTGCCCTCTCCACCATGCCCACACCCATGGCACATGTCGCTCGACACATGGCGCATGGTGTATGACATGACGTGGCAGCATGCTGTGGTTCCTGCGCCAGCTGGCACAGCTGCAACCCCACGTGCTGCGCCTCCTGCTGCCCCCCACCATGCGGTAACCACACTCTACCTCACCCCCCACCCGCTCATGCGCGATTCGCACATCCCTGTGTTGATGCTTTTCGCTCGTGCAGTCACTTCCCCGCACCCATCCGCCATTGATGCTTTTCGCACACTGCTGCATGGCCGTGATGAAGCCATCGCCCATGCCACCACACCACGACTTGCACCTCACTGCGCCCCCCCTCACCTCGCACAACCACTTCCGTGGCCCGTTCCACGCCAACTCTGCGCCCCCGCCCCTCTCCCCCCCTCCCTCCAATTTCTACCCCCCCTCCCATGCAGCGCATTGAACCGCCTGGCTGCATCTCACCCCGCCCCCGTTCTGCTCATCTTCTTGGAGCTTGCCGAGAAGCTTCCTGACTGCCTTGCTGGCTCCACACTGCAGCAGGGCAGTAAGGGGGGGGAGGGCAAGGCGAGGGGAGGGCTGCAGCAGCTGGTGGGGGGGCTGGTGGAGGGGGGCGTGGTGGGGGGAGAGGGGGAGGAAGAGGAGAAAGGAGGAGGGAGAGGGGAGGAGCGAGTGGGTGAGAAGGTGAGGGGGAGTGCGAGGCAGGCTCTTGTGTGGGCGGCAGTGCGATGTCTGAAATCATTACCTGTGATGACGTGGCAAGACAACCTGATTCTGTGTCAGCACGTGATTACTAATGTGTCACGCCAGCTAGGCACGTCCCTTGAATCACAGAGTGAAAAGGGAGGCAAGGGGCAGGAAGAAGCAGATGGAGAGCATGCGGGGAAGGGGAGGGTGCGCAAGAGGAGGAAGCGGCAGCAAGGCGAGGAGGGAAGTGAAGGGTCGCTTGGGAGGGCAGTAGCTGCTGTCCCCCGCCCGCCCGTTGCTGCATTTATGGATTCACACCAAAGCCGGCAGCAGCAGCAGGAAGCGAGCGAAGCATGGGAGGGAGTGCTGGCAGCAGCACTGGAGACCCACTCAGTGCTGCTCTCATCGCACTCTGCCGCCAACCTGCCTTGCCACCTGCCGCTCTACCTCTCTGCCGCCCGCCACCACTGCCGCTCGCTGCCTATCCTCTCCGCCGTTGCTCTCTTCCTGCAAGCCTTCCCCAGGTGCGCCCCCCCCTCATGCAGCTCATCCCCCACTCCTGCACTCATCCCATCTCCCCCTGGTACACTTTAACTTCCCCACGTGTTCTCCGTGTCACCGCGTCACCATCCGCCTCGTAACATGTGCGTTTCGCACACGCCCCTTAACATGAACTGTCTGCTTGAGATATCCAGTTCTCACTTGCTCCCTCGTTTCTCCTCGGTTTCACCAGGGCTCAAGTGGGTGACACGTCAGCATCTCTGCCCGCCTTCCCACCTGATCTGTCAGCCAACCACATGCCTGCAATGCTTGAGGCACTACAGGACAACTTCTGCCACCCAGCACGTGAAATGCGGGTGGCATCGTTGCGCATTATCTGTCATTTCGCCCCCCTGCTTGTGCGGGTGGGGGGAGAGGGAGGAGAGGCGAGGGGGAGAAGCAAAGGGAAGAGGAGGGCGGAGCAAGCAGCAGGGGGGGCGGTGGTGGTCGCAGGAGAGGACGCTGAGCCGTGTCTGGTGGGTGCCATGCCTTGCCATGCCTTGCCATGCCATGCCATGCCTTGCCATGCCATGCCATGCCATGCCATGTGCTGTGCGGTTGGGATCACATGTGCAGCTGGGTCTATGTGGGTTTGGGTCATTCCCCACTGCTCACATGCATCCTTCGCCCCCCCCACCCCTCCATGCCTCTGTTGTTCTCAGGTGTTTCACCAGGTGGAAGAACTGGAGTCAGCACCCTACGACCTGCAGATGGGCCGGCACGCTGCCACAGCATTGGCTGCCCTTGCTGCTCATGCCACATCAGCACGGCTGCCCAACCAGCTGCTGCCAGCTGTCAGTCGCTGTGTGCTGGGGCTACTGCACTCCAAGTTTGCAATGATGTGGCAGCCTGCCATTGGCTGCCTTGCAGGTGAGTCCCTCGTTTGTCACTTCCCTTTCATCACAACACTCCTAGTCTCCACACTTCCTTCACCTGTCTTCCCGCCCGTCGCTTCTGACCTCCCATTCTCTGCCTTGTCTTCTTCGTCCATCTCATGCTGCTCCGATCCTCTCTCCCAACCTCCCCCCACCATCCCCTTCCGCCCTGGCATGCATTGATTCCCTCCTCGCCTCATATTTCACCACATTTCCGCACTCCCCTGGTCCCTCGCCCTCCCAGCGCTGCTCTCCGCCCACCCCTCTTCCACCTGGCTCGTGGTGTGGCGGGAGCTGCGCCACCTGCAAGGAAGCTTCCTGCTGGCGGCAGCTGGTGCACCTGCAGAGTCAGGCGGTGGGGCGCAAGGCGAAGGGCAAGGGGAGGAAGGAGAGGATGGCGGAGGGGAGGAGGGGGGAGAGCACGAGGATGGGGAGGATGGCAGCGGCAGTGGTGCAGGTGATTATTGGGGTACCTGACAGGGCTGCACAGCACATGGTGGTGTGGGGCATGGTGCATGGGGCACAAGGCATGGTTGATATGGGGCATGGGGCATGAGATGCATTTCGCAACATAAAGGCTCCATCATGTGTGTCAACCATGGTTGGTGGGTACTACTATCCCCTCTCCTGCTCGAGCCTGCTCATAGCCCTCTCCCTCTCTCTGCTGCATTCCGCCATGTCTCGCTCTAACTCGGTTCTCCCCCCTGCCTCCTCCTGTACGTCTCACTGCACTACTAGTGCTCCCCTGCACCTCTGCCTGCACCGTTTCTTCCCCTTCCCTCCCCTGCCGCCCCCCACGCCCTTCCCCCTCCTCTCACCGCCAGGCATAACGGATCTCTTCCTGCGCACCGCCATGGCAGTGCCATCAGGAGCTCCTCCGTCAGCAGTGCTGTCGTCGCTGCTGCGCGCCCTCAGGCAGGCGCCAGCAGTGGCCGCCGCGCGCCTCTCCCCCGCACCCCCACCGCCTCCATCTGTGGGCACTGCTCTCACGCCGCGTGCTGGCACCTGTGCTGCCAACCTGGCGAGCGGGCAGCAGAGGCGTGGCACGGCGGGGCAGCAGCTGGCGGCGCTCTTCCTGGCATTCGTGGGCGACTCTGATGACTGCCTGTACGCCTCGCTCTTTCTTCCCTGCCTTGCTCCGTTCGCCACCCCTTGCACCACTCCTTGTTTGCAGCAAAGTATGTGATTTCTTGTTGTTCCTCCCTTTCATCGCCTCCCCTGTGCGCCCCTTTCGTGCATTATGCTCCTCGCATCCCCCTCTCTCCGCGCACTCACAATGGCACCGGCCCAGTGCCCCCTCAACTCATCTCCCCTTCCTCTCTCTACCCACACCCCCGGCGCTCCCCTCAGGCCGACAGTGCATACAGGGCACGTGGAGATGATACAAGGGGGCGCGGAAAGGGCAGGCAGGGAGGAGGGCGAGGAGGCGGAGGAGGGGGTGGTGGTGAACAGAGCAATGGTGAGGGGCAAGCAGTGGCACGTGGTGCTCTCTGATTGGCTGGAGCTGCTGAAGCGAGTAGAGCTGACAGCGTGTGGCCCCAAGGGAGAGCCACTCAAGCATGTCATCATCGACAGGTGCTGCCCTGCCCTGCCCTGCCCTGCCATGCCATTCCATGCCGTGCCGTATCGTACCGTTCACTGTAATGACCTGCCCCCTGTTGCTCCGTCAGTCCTTTATTCACGCGCCACCATCCGCTCTTCCCGTCAACCTCACAGCATGCATCCGCCTCGTTGTCCCACCACCTCCACCCCCCTCGTCCCTCTCTCACCCTCACATGAATCAGGTTTCTGGTGCACCCAGATCCGGCGGTGCAGCAGCTAGCGTTGGAATGTCTGGTGGCGTGGCGCCATGGCTGTCTGCCCAAGTACGCCGCCCGCCTCGCCGCCCTCGCCTCCTACCGCTCGCTCAAAGAGACCCTCACCACGTGGGATATCAGCCCCGTGGATGGGGATGGGGAGGAGGGCGAGGAGGAGGAGGAGGGGAGGGTGGCGGAGGCGGACAGGGCGAGTGTGATCCCGGTGATCATTCGCCTGCTGCTGCCCAAGCTCAAGAAGAGGAGCGGGCAGCTCGCAGGGAAGGTGAGGCGAGTGATTCTGCGCAGTGCGCAAGTAGCGGTCATGTCTGCACACGCTTCTCTCCTGCTTGGCATTCTTGCTGCTTCCACTGTCCGTTCTGCACCCTTCTTCACTCGCCGAATCCCCCTATCCCCTCATTCTGCCCTCTCCCAGGCGGCAGCAGGAGTGCAGCGAGGCACAGTGCTGACATTCCTGGCGCGCCTGCCCCCCTCGGAGCTGCTTCCCCTCTTCCACCTCATGCTGCTGCCCTTCCGCCCCGCCCTCCGCCCCGCCCACCATCCGGGCGCGGTAGTGCAAGGAGAGGCAGGCGAGGAGGCGTGGCAGCAGGCGCTGAGGCAAGGAGCCACGGAGGACTTCCTGCTGCTGCTGGGGGAAGGGGGGGATGAGGGGGAGGGGGAAGCGGCGGGGGAGGAGGGGAAGGAAGGGGCAGTAGGAGCGGGAGCGGGAGCGGGAGTGGGAGCAGGAGTGGGGGTGGGGATGGTGGGGCGCAAGCGAGTGAGTGGGTTTCTGCACCTGGCTGTGGACGTGGTGCGCGTGATGAGCCGCCACCAGCTGCAGCCCTACGTGCTCGCCCTGCTGGCCGTCGCCGTGCGCACTGTGCAGTGCTACCCGCCCCTGCCTCCCAGTGCTGCTGGCGGTGAGGGGCGTGTGGAGGAGAGGCTGGATGAGAAAATGGGTGAGGCAGTGGAAGAGAAGGAGATAATAGAAGAGGAAGGGGAGGGAAAGGAGGAAGTAGAGGTTGAGGAGGAGGAGGAGGCAGAGGAGGCAGAGGAGCTTGAAGGGGAGGAAGGGCAGAAAGACGAGGTTATGAAAGGCAAAGAAGAGGGTGCCGATGCTGCTGCTGAGGGGCCTGGCGATGCTGATGAGGATGGGCACAAGGAGGCGGGGGTTGATGCACCTGAGGAAGACAACGAAGACGACGATGATGATACGGAGGCCAATACCAACGCCAGCCAGTCCATCTCCCCTCACGTGCCCAGCTGGACTCGGGAGCTGCGCTCACTCGCCCTGCGACTGCTGGCAGCCATCCTCGCCAAGTTCCCCGACATCGCCACGCGCCCCTCCCTGCCCGCCCCCCTGCGCCCCTGGCCGCTGCTGCTCGCCGCCCTCTCCCCCGCCCTCACCCACCTCGCGGTTGACAACGCCGCCTCCTCCGAGCCTTCCGCGCTGCTCGCGCTGTTGCTCGCCCTCTCACGCTCGCCTCGCCTGGCGCTCCTGCTCGCCTCCCACCCGCACGCACTTCCCGCGCTCTCTGCGCTGCTCTCCTCGCCCTCTGCGCGCCTGCCTGTGGTGGGTGCAGCCATGGGGGTGCTCTCTCACGTGGTGGCGTGGGGCGTGGTGGAGAGGGAGGAGGGTGAGGAGGGGGAGGAGGAGGGCGAGGTGGTGCTGCAATGGGAGCAGGCGGGGGGGCAGATGGGAGGGGAGGTGGAGGGGGTGCGAGTGGCGATAGGCAAGGCCGTGGAGGGGCATCTGGCGGCCATCCTGCCACACATGCAGCAGTTCATTGCAAGGCAGGGTGCACTCTATAGGTAAGGCATTGCTATCCAGCTTGTGTGCGTTCCCTCTTCCTCACGCTCCAATCTCCCTCACTTACCTCTCTGCACTCCCTTCCTCCCCTCCTCACTGTTCCAATCCTCCCACTCTTACCCTTCCCCCCTCTCTCCCCACAATTCTCACTCACGGCATGGCACGGAGCAGCAAGGGGGCGGGGAGGGCGCTGAAGGTATCAGCGCTGGCGGTGGTGGGGCGCATGGCAGGCATGGTGACACACGCGCACCTGGCAGGCCAGCTCGCAGCCGCGCTCACGCCCTTCCTCAGGCAGGCAGCGGGCGGCAGGCGGCGAGTGGACGAGAGCACCACAGCGGCCGTGCTGGCAGTGCTGCAGAGCCTGGCGCCGCTGCTGTCCCGCACTGCAGCTGCCACGTGTGTGCGGCTCTTCGCCCCGCTAGTCACCCACCTGCAGTCAAGGCCCGCTCGCCTGGCCCTCGTGCACACGCTCTCTGCGCTCGCTGCCGCCCACCCCTCACACTCCATGCGCCTCCTGGTACACACTTATCCCGTCAACACATGTGCCCATTCATGTGCTCTCCAATCCCTACCCCCTGCCCTCCTCGTCTTTCCTCCTCTGCTTCCCCATGTTCCTCCCTCTACCTCCTAAGACCTCCTTTTCTTCCTTCCGCCTGCCACTGTCTCCCGCTAATGCCGTCCCTCCACCTCCATCCCTTCCCCCCCCCGTCACCTGCAGGCGTCACTAGTGGCGGACCTATGCGCATACGACCCGGCGCGCATAGACGAGTACGACTACACGCGCCGCCTGCACGCCTACACCTCCATGCACTGCCACCTGCCTGACCCTCCCGCCACCTCCACCCCTTCCTCAAAAGACAGTTCTGATAGCGCAGCCACCGCGCTGCAGCGCTCGGCAGAGCAGGTGCAGCAGCAGGTGGTGGTGGCGGTGGGGCGGGAGGGGTGCCTACTGCTGCTGAGCTGCGCAGTGCGGGACATGGCGGACGAGGACATGTCGCTGCGCCACTCCGCTGCCCACTTCCTGCAGTCCTTCGTGCGCCTCGCTGCTGCCCTCGCTGCTCTCCCTCCCGCCCCTGGTGCCACTGCTGGTGCGAGGAAGGGCAGGGAGGGGGAGGAGGGGGGCGCAGTGAGTGGGAGGGAGGCGAGGGAGCTGGTGAACGCAGTGCTGCTGCGCCACATCAAGAAGGGCCTCCACTCGCCCATCATCGTCGTGCGCAGGGTATGCCCCCTCCCCTCGCGCAGCGCGCCCCAACCTCTGCTTGGACCCGCTTTAGAGCGCTCGTCTTTTCCCCCTGTTGCTGTCCCTCACCCTGCTGCTTCTTCTCACCTTACCCATTCATCTCACCTTACCCATTCATCTCACCTTACCCATTCATCTCACCTTACCCATTCATCTCACCTTACCCATTCATCTCACCTTACCCATTCATCTCACCTTACCCATTCATCTCACCTTACCCATTCATCTCACCTTACCCATTCATCTCACCTTACCCATTCATCTCACCTTACCCATTCATCTCACCTTACCCATTCATCTCACCTTACCCATTCATCTCACCTTACCCATTCATCTCACCTTACCCATTCATCTCATTTAGCTGCTGCACTGGAACTGGCCCAAAAGCCCTCTTTCTACCTCCCTCACTCCCTTTCTCCCTACACCGTGACCCTGCACCCATCTCCTGCTCGCATCAACCTCGCTTCCATGTCCCACCATACAGGAGTGGGTGCTGTTGCTGCGTGACGTGGCGCTGCACATGGGTGCCACGTCACCAGTGGCGGAGCTGAGGTGTCTGGTGAGGGAGGATGACGTGGAGGCGGATTTCTTCCACAATCTCGTGCATCTGCAGACTCACCGCCGCGTGCGAGCGCTCACCAAGTTCGCCGCCCTCTGCCCCACCGCCCACTTCTCTCCGGTATGGCAACTTTACACTGGGAGTATTCATCCACACCATCTGTGGGCCGAATTCCAGGCTGTGCCTTGCATACATCTCACATGCCAGCTCACTGCCCACACCACTTATGCATGCCACGCAAGTATTTAGCGTTGTACCAAGAAGCGAGCTCTCCCTCTCTCAACACTCTATATCTCTCGCGCATTCCCCCCCCCCCCCCCCCCCTGCACGCATCTCCTCCACCTCCTTCCCCCACACCCACACCAGGAGGTGTTGCTGGAGGCGGTGGTGCCAGCGCTGCTACGGCAGCTGGTGGAGGGGCGGCCGGACAGTGAGAGCGGCGTGATGGACGCCACCATGGCCGCCCTCTCCGCCCTGGCCGCCCGCCTGCCCTGGCCCGCCTTCCACTCCCTGCTCTCCCGCCTGCTGGCTCTGCTGCCACGGCGCAAGGAGAAGGGCGAGCAGTGGTGGGAGGAGAGCAAGGGCAGGGGCGGGGGGAGGGGTGGCGAGGAGGTGAGTGCGGCGGGGCAGCGGGCGATTCTGAGGGCCATCTGTGGCGTGCTGGAGCAGGTGAAGCACGTGGTGGGGGTGGGGGGAGGGGAGGAGAAGGGTGACAAGGAGGAAGAGAAGGGTGAGAAGGAGGGTGTGGATGGGAAGGAGGGTGGAGAAGCGGGTGGGAAGGATGGGGACGAGGGGAAGGAGATTACTGATAAGGAGAGCAAGGGAGGAAAGGAGGAGATCAGGCAAGTGGCAGCAGCGGAGGCAGGGAAGGAGGAGGGGGGAACGGCAGTGTCGCTGCGCATACAGCAGGTGTTGCTGAAGGACATCATCCCTCAGCTGTCCAAGCACCTCGTGGCAGGCGAGGCGGGCCGCGAGGAGGTGAACTCGCATGTGGCGCTCGCCGTGACGCGCACGCTGCTGCTGCTGCCGCCCGATGCCATCCGCTCGCACCTCCCCGTGCTCCTGCAGACCGTCGTCAACCCCCTCAAGTCGCGCTCGCAAGGGACGAGAGACGCCGCCCGGGCGGCGCTGTGCCAGGTGGCGGGGGCGCTGGGTCCGGCCTACCTGGGGTACGTGATCGGCATGCTGCGCAGCGCACTTACACGCGGGTTCGAGCGCCACGTGCTCGGCTTCACACTGCACGCACTGCTGCTGCATGCCGCCACCACCCACGGACGCACCATGCCCCCAGGTGCCCTGGACTACTGCCTGGGCGAGTGCCTAGCAGTGGCGGTGGAGGGGCTGCTGGGGCAGGTGGCGGAGGAGAGGGAGGTGGACGCGGTGGCAGCGGGCGTGCGGGAGAAGCGCCAGAGCCGGTCGCTGGAGACGGTGCGCATCGCTGCCTCGCTGGTGAACGTGCGGCGCAGCACGGCCCTGCTGCTCGCCCCCATCCGTGCCGCCCTGCCTGCATCGCTGGATCCGAGGGTGAAGCGGCACGTGCAGGAGATGGTCAGACATATGGCCATTGGGCTGCTGGCCAATCAGCACGCGACAGCTGGCGACCTGCTGGTGCTGGTGCACGCGGTGCTGTGGGAGGGCGTGCGCGTGGAGCAGGCACATGCGGCCGCAGTGGGTGAGCGGAAGCGACTGCGTGTGGAGGCTCGGGAGGGGAAGGGTGGGGGGGAAGGGAAGGGGGAGGAAGGAGGGATGGAGGAGGAACTGGGTGAGGAGTGTGGGATGGAAGGGGAGGAAGCGGAGGGCAAGGTAGGAGGGCGGAGGAGACGGAAGAAGCAGAAGGGGTTGGGGTTTGAGGGGATGCCGAACGGGCATGTGGTGGCGCTGCTGGGCCTGCAGCTGCTGCTCTCCCTCGCCTCGCACGACCGCCTGCCCGCATCTGACCCCGCCCTCACACCGCGCCTCAATGCCCTGGTGCACCCGCTCTCCCTCGCCCTCTCCTCGCCCCACGACGCCGTGCTAGCAGCCTCTTTCCGCGCCCTCGCCTTCCTCCTCCACCGCCGCCTCCCCTCCGTCGCCACCGTTGCCCCCCGCGTCGCCACGTCAGCGTTCAAGGTGGTGCAGCAGGCGGGGCGGGCGGCGGCCGTGGCGGGCGGCATGGTGCACTCGTGTCTGAAGCTGCTAGCCGTGCTGCTAGACAGATGCCCCGAGGTGAAGGTGGGCGAGGAGCAGGTGCGAGCGCTGCTGGGCAGTGCAGTCTTCACAGACCTCGAGCTGCCCTCCACTCGCACCACCGCCTTTGCCGTTCTGCGCGCGCTGCTGCGGCGGCGAGTGGTGGTACCTGAAGTGTATGACGCCATGGGGCGCGTGCAGCTGCTGCTGCTGCGCTCCCACACGCCCTCCGTGCGCCAGCTCAGCGCAGCGCTGCTTCTCGCCTTCCTGCTTGACTACCCGCTGGGTCCCGCACGCCTGGAAGCACATCTGAGCTTCCTGATAGTGAATTTGAAGTACGAGCACCAGAGCGGGCGAGAGGCCGTGCTGGGCATGCTGCGAGCCATCATCGAGGGATTCCCCTCCGTGCTCGTGGAGGCCCACGCCGATACCTTCTTCCTGCCGCTCGTCACTCGCCTAGTCAGCGATGAGTCAGCAAGGGTGCGGCAGCTGGTAGCAGCGGTGCTCAAAGCGCTGTTTGTGCGAGTCAAGCCGCCCACGTGCGCGCGCCTGCTGCGCTTCGCGTCTGCATGGTTGGTGGATCCGTCCCCCCAGCTGCAGCAGGCAGCAGCGCTGGTGTTAGGGGTGGCGGTGGAGGCGGTGGGGGTGGGCGGCGAGCAGGGGGGCATGGTGGCGGCATGGATGGGTGCTGCTGCGCGGATTGTGCAGCGGGCGCAGGGAGGGGAGGAGGGTGAGGGAGGGGGAGTGGAGGGGTGGAAGGGTGTGTACGCGTGTGTGGTGCTGGCTGAGAAGGTGCTGCAGCGGGAGGGTGGGCAGGTGCACAGCAGCAGCATGCGTGCGCTGTGGCGGCAACTGCCGGCGCTGCTGCTGCATCGCCACCTCTGGGTGCGCGCTGCTGCCTGCCGCCTCCTGGGGGCCTACCTCTCCCATGCCACCACTGCCGCTGCTGCAGCCGCTGGTGGTGGTGGGAGCAAGGGCGTGTGTGGGGCGGAGGAGGAGGGTCTGAAGGCTGTGGTGAGGGAGCTGGTGGAAAAGGGCGAGCAGGATGAGGGGGAGGACGAGGAGCAAGAGGAGGGTGAGGGGAGGGGGGCAGGGGTGGCGGTGTGGCAGGTGCTGCTGCAGCCATCGTACTTGGTGGTGGTGGCAGGGGCGCTGTGCCGTGTGCTGGAGAGCAACGCCAGTGACGAGCGGCTGGCACAGCACACTGTCAAAAACCTTGTCGCCCTCGCTCCCCTCCTGCCCCTCCTGCCTTGCCGTGCCATTAATGGCACTGCTGGTGGTGGGATGAGGAAGGGAAGGGAGGGGGGATCGGGGTTGGTGGTGGAGCTGGATGGGTGTGCCATAGGCAGGGAGGGCAGGGGGCGGCTGAAACTGGGGTGGCAACTGCTGCGGGTGAGGAGGAGAGAGGGAGAGAAGACTGGGGATGGCAGTGGTGGCGAGGAGGAGGACGAGGAGGAGGAGGAAGAGGAGGAGGTGTTGGGAGAAGCAGAGGGAGGGGTGGAAGGGGGGGTTGAGGAGGAGGAGAAAGCAGAGGAAGTAGAGGAAGAAGAGAAGGGCGATGAGGAATCATACCTTGTAGACTTTGGGGAGGGTAGTGGTGTGGGCGATGCTGGTGCTGCTGCTGATGCTGCTGTTGCTAATGCCGATCCTGGTGCTGATGCTGATGCGGATGCTGATATGGAAGCGACAGGTGCAGGGAGTGGGGCCGTCATGTTGGGTGAACCAGTAGGGGAGGGCAGTGAGGGCGATGCAGAGGGCAGTGGGGAGGCAGGGGATGGGGAGGAGGCAGAGGAGAGGCAGCAGAGCGATGGGGAGGAGGGCGGTGCAGGGGAGCAGGAGGATGGGGAGGGGCAACTGGATGGGGGCTATGTGGCGTTAAGGGAGGGGGCAGGGGAGGAGGCGACACGGCACATAGCGCTGGGGGCGGTGATGAAGGCGGTGGCACGTGTGGCGTACAGAGTGAAGCCCATTCAGGTGTGGCCCTTCGTGTGCTGTGCTACTCACACGCTCCACATACCATCTCTCTGTGCTTCAATGATTTCTGCTTCCACCCTCCCCTCACTCCCCCCTCATCCCTCTCCCTTCCCCCTTTCACTCCCTCTCCCCACACATCCCCCCCCTACCCTTGCCCCCATGCATGGAGCCCACCAGACGGCAGCAGCGCTGCGGTGTGTGGCAGCGCTGGCGACAGCACTGGGAGGGGAGGGGGTGCGGCCATACCTGCCGGACGTCATGCTGCCACTCTTCCGCCTCTCACAGGGCTCTGCAGGCGCTGTTGTCCCACGTGAGCCCCTCTCCACACCCCTGCACCCGTCTGTACCTTTTGCAATCCCCTTGGTGCTCGTTTCGTGTCAAGGTGCCGTTTTCTCTCCCCATAGCAATGCGTGTGCTGTGAGAAGCACAGGTTGGCTTGGCAGTCCCGGCACTGGTGTTCGCCCTGCGTGCCATTTGTAGCACTGCTTCGCACACCCAACCTCCCCACGCCTCCTCTTTACTCACTTTCTCATCCGTTCCTCCCGTCTCCCCTGTAAGCCTCCTCCAACTCACCCTCCCCCCCCCCCCTCATCTCCCTCCCGTCTCTCTCTGCCCCCTCGCCTCGCCCCGTGCACATCAAGCAGCGGAGGTGCAGGGGGTGGTGGGCGAGGTGGTGGAGCACGTGCGCCACGAGGTGGGCCCCGCCGCCTTCATTGCCGCCTTCTCCGCCGCGCGCGACACCGCCAGGAGGCGCGCGGCAGCCAGGCGGGAGGCGGCGCGCGTGAGCGTGCTGGTGGACCCCGAGAGGCACGCTCGGCGCCGGGCGAGCCTGGCGCGCAAGCGAGGCGAGTACAAGAAGAGGAAGAACCAGCAGCACCGCCGCAGCAAGATGCGGTGATGCCTGGAGGGAGGTGCGATGCTGTGGGCATGGCCACATGCACACATGTACGCATCTGCAAGGGCAGCTCTTTAGAACACAACGCTGTATGGACTTTTGCTTACAAGTAATGATGCTAGTGATAAAAATACGCCAGCATGATGCCATAAAGCACTCTTTTAAAGAGCCATGTGAACTGACAGCTAACTACTGAATACAAAGCACTCCAGTAGAATGGGTGCAACCACACAGCAGCATCACTGGCCGCTGGCTGCACGCAGCTTCAGGCTCCTGCAGGTACACTTGGAGCTGCTGTGCAGTGAAGGACCCATAAAAAGAATTACAGGAATCATTCTACCAAAAATTAGGAAACTGAAGGAGCATGCGCGAGTTTGGCAGGAGCAGAAAGCTACTCGATGAAGTAAGCGGCGGTGGTGGAGGGGGAGCGCGAGCCATCGGTGTGTTGGCATTGCAGCTGCAGGTCCACGTCCATGAGGCGGTGGTTCTTCTGCGACCGCCGGATGTGCATGGCGCCCGACACCTCGTCTCCCTCGCGCACGTGCAGTGGGTGTGCGAGCAGGAAGACCTGCTGCCCCCAGTGCGTGCCCTCGTCCACACTGGGCGCTGTCGTCAGCTGCACCTCGTGCTCCGTGGGGTCCGTGGCTGACCCCTGTGAGTGGGGGGGTGAAGGTGGAGGAGGGAGCGCGGGGCGGGGACAGTGAGGGCAGCACAGGGGGATGATGAGAGGGCGATTGTGGGAATGTTGGTGGCAAGCGGCCACTGGAGCATCCCATGCAATGCTTTAGGAGACTAGAACGACAGGATAGCCTGGATAGGACTCTGCAATGCAAGCAGGGTTACCTTGAACAGCACGTCAAACCACCCTCCAATGGCGTTGACGGGTTTATCAGCAGCGAAGGTGTGCGTGGTGAAGGTTGCCTTGACCTCCTCCACGTCGGCCACGGTGGCGGTGGCGCAGTCTATCTCGCGGATCATCACCGGCCGCCCCAACACCTGCGATGGGTACAGCGACTCCCAACACCCTGTCTGGCAGCGGGCAGGGGGCACGGGATGAGGGAGCGCGTGAGTGGAGCAGGGAATGGCAGGCAACAGATGGGATAAGGCGTGGGTCGAGGGAGCTGCTGAGAAGGAGCCGGAGGGGTGTCCGAGTGGGAGTGTGAGCGAGGGAGTGGGCAAAGAGAGTGGGAGAGAGGGAGTATCGAAAACGGAACGGGCGAGAGGGACTGGGGAAAAAGGAATGGGAGAGGGGAGTGGGGGAAAGGGAACAGGGCGAGGGAGGAGGGGGGGATACTTGGAGGAAGTATTTCTGCTGCTCGGCCTCGTAGGTCTGGTCCAGCACGGCCATGTCAACGCCATAGTCCTCCCTGGTGCCGCGCACGAAGCTGCGCCAGTCGCCCATGCTGCTGCGGAACTCGCCCATGCGCCCCTCCCACAGGCTCGAGTGCACCGGCGCCACCCACATGCGCGCATGGCTCGGGAACCTGCACCGCACAGCGGGGGGGGGGGTGGTGGGGAAGGGATGAGCAGGAATGGTGGTAAGAGGCGGCAGAGAAATTATAGAGCATGCAGAGAGCTGGATAAGAAGCGTTGAGTCGTCTCAGTGCAGCATTTTCCACAAAAACGCTCTTTACCCAAGCCCCACCACCCCATCTCCCCCACCCCATCCGGCCTCCAGCCCCTCAGTCCACCCGGTCCCCATCCCTCCACCCTTCCCCCCTTGGCCCCAGCACCCGCACGCACAGGGAGCCGCCCGGTTTGAGCCAGCGGTCGCGAGCGACGAGGACGGAGTCGAGCATGGACTCGCGCACGAGGAAGTACCCCATCCACTCGCTTATTATCACGTCCACTGCGACCAACATGGAGAGGGGCGGGGGGCCAGGGGGCGGGTAAGGGCGGGAAAGAGGGCGAGGGGTAGTGGGGGAAAGTATGAGGGGAAGTGAACGGACGGCCAGGGAATTGGAAGCAAGGTAATGTGAGTGAAGGAGTGAATGGGGGGGTTGCGGGAGCGCGTGTGCAACAAAGGAGCAGAACGGGCAGTTCTTCGTCTCCCCGCACAACAGTCCTGCCCGCCCCACCTTTCTCGGGCAGCTGAACGTCCTCCATGCTCTCCTGCAGCACCGTCACGCGGTCCGCCACGCCATTGGCGCGCGCCAGCGTGGTGGCGTGCTGCGCCATGTCCGTCGCCTCCACCGCGTACACGCGCCGCGCGCCCGCCTGCGCCGCCCAGATGGCGAGAATGCCGCTGCCCGTGCCCACGTCCAGCACCACCTGCGCAGGGGCGGAGGGCGGGGTTTGGGGATGGGGAGAGGTGGTGTCGGATGGGGCGAGAGACGGGGAGCGCAGAGGCGACAGGGTTGAGGGTTCCGGGGATAGCGGTTGTTGCGTTGCGCGGGGAGCGTGGGCAGGCGAGATGGCATGGCGCGCACGGGGAGGTGGTGGGGCGGCAAGGCACGTAGGGTTGACGGGTGTGGGAGCAAGGAAGGAAGTGGGGTTGCGGGGTTGAGGGGATGGGGAGGAGGGGAGGAGTTGGTGATTGACGAAAACCTGGATCGGACGGGCCACAGGCAATGCGGGTACGGGGTAATCGGGTGCAGGGAACCGGGGCCGCGCATAGCGACGGGTGGGTGATACCTCGATATTGACGGGTGCTGGACCTTTCTCATTGGAGAAGTTCAATTGGATCGCGATTCACTAATGAGAGACGGCCGAATTTCTTGCCCTCACAGAACCGCGACTCGATCTCACCGAGGCGCAGAACTCGACCGCACCTTATCGACGAAGTGCGCCTTATTCTTCATGACCGCGTCGCGATACGCGTTCATCCGCACGCGGTCCGACAGCATGTCCTTCTGGTGGTACAGATACGCGTACGTGCAAAAGTAATTCGCGAAATCCGCCGCCTTGTCCACCTGCGGCCGCCCGCCGCCGCCGCCGCCTCTGCCGCTCATCGTGGCGAGCGCTGGGAATACGCGGATGGCAGGAGCGACGGGGATGAGCGTTGACGCGAGCGGACGGGCGGACGAGAGGGACGGAAAAAAGGAAGTCCTTGGAACGGGGCGAGGAGATAGAGGCCAGAGAGAGGCTGGCCAAGCCCTGAGATGGTGGTGAATGGCACGAGACGAGGCGATCCAGCAACGTGGAGTGGGAGCTGGGCAAGTGGATCGCTGACTGACTGATGATGAATGTCACGCTCGCTATCGATCACGTTCATTCACGGCTGATTTCCCTCCCTCCCCTCTGTGTACAGAAAGCCTGGGATGCAGTACTGTACTCGACCAGGCCTGTCGCTTACTCTAAACCCAACCCTTAAGAAGTTGAGCTGGCCCAAAACCAGCCCGGAAGGATCCGGGTAGGGGCTGATTTTGGCCCGTAAGAATCAGGGCTGGCCAGTAAGAATCAGGGCTGACTTCAGACCTAGTGTATTTGCAGCCAGCAACATACATGCTTACAAGAACTATGAAGTTTCAACTAAATGTGTTTGAGGCGGATTCGCGGATAAGGGGTCAAGAAACTCCAAGGGGAAGCTAGTTCGGGAAAGGAGGGGGGGGGGGGGGGGGTGGATAAGGGGGGGGACATACACGGAAATCCGGGCAAGGCCCAAAACCAGTCCGTTAGGGTCCGGCCAAGGGCAAAACCAGTCCGTTTTCCTTACGGGCTTCCTCGCAAACTAACCTTAAAATCTCTGAGGTGCGTCGAACCCAGTCCTGAATTCTCAGGACAAACGGGCAAATGCCCGTGAATCGACAGGCCTGTACTCGACTCGCTATTGTTCAACGTTATGTGTTCTGATATTTATTGCATCTTTATGTTTTGGCCAGATTGGCATAGGAATTGTCGTTTCTTTGTAGCTGCGAGATATTTCTGAATCACTTTTGTCCAAGTTCCACTTTCGGTGGCGATGACATGGAGCGCAACGAGCTCGCGTCAAACCATATCAGTGGGGAGATATCGAGAGGCTCAGGGCTGTCGTCAGACGAATTGCCGACGTGGAGGGTACTCAGTGGCCGTGCATTTTTTAAGATGACCAGTCGCTGCACTTTTTCGACGCCGCGTTTCCCTGCCCAGTCGAGCAAGCAGCGCAAGCAGTCACGCTGACCAATTTCCACGAACGAACTCACGTGTACAGTCGTCCCTCCCCGCCTTCCCCCATTCGGGAATCGGGCAGCATGTGGCCGTGAGCGACGCTCGCCCAAGTTACGCCCTCCCTGGGAGGAGGAGCCACGGCACACCGGGAACGGGATGGTGATGGGAGGGCAGGCGAGCGGTCGGGCAGCATGCCGAGTCAAGGGTGGGTCGCTGTGAGGCGGCGACCAAGCGGAGAGGCGGTTGATAGCGACAGCCTGACGGCGTCCCTCGCAAGCAATCTCCATTCGCATCGACCCTCAACCTCCTCCCTCGGGTTTCTCGTCTCCCTGTCTAAAGCCTTGCCACTTTCCCTCTTCAGCTAGATACCCGCGCTGATCCCTCGGACGATCCGTAGTGCGCACACGGCCCTGTCACATGACCGCGTCACTAGCAGCATCAGTGCGAGCCGTCCCACCATGGCCACCCATCTCGTGCTTCATCGCACGCTAAGCTCCATGCACCTCTCCTCCACCGATCAGCGTCGCGACGCGTGCCGGCATGACGAGCCGTGCGCTGTGATCGCCGCGAGTCCCGCAGCCGCACCGAGTTGCACGGCGACGATAGTTGAGCGCGGCGTGGTGTGCGAAGTGCCGCTGGACGCGCAGCGCGTCGCCGCGAGCTCGCCGTGGTCGTACGGCGCGATGGACGGCGACGACTGCTGGCGGCCTCCGCCCGGCGCGCGGCTGTCCGACGCGACGAGCGCCGACTTCCTCAAGCGCTGCGCCTTCTGCCGGCGGAGCCTGGAGCGCGCGGACGCCTTCATGTACCGGTGAGCCGCGCGGGCGCCCCTCCACAGCAACCCCGCTCGATCTCCTCCCCTACTAACCTTGCTGAATTCCTTTCTCGCATGGATTTACATGAGTCCTCATGGAATAACATGGCAGCGTGCTGACCTTTATGATGGGCGTGCGTGTGCAGGGGCGACAAGGCGTTCTGCTGCCTGGAGTGTCGGCAGCACCACATGATCGTGCACACCCGCAAGACATGGCTGCACCTCACCGGGCGGCGGTTTTCCATGGTGCCGCTAACTGGTTAGTCCACTCACCCATCACACGGTGGTGTGGAGGGTGTGGCATGGATGATTTTCATCAAGAACTTGATAGAGCCTCGCAGCACCTCTCGTGACAGGCATAAGCACACACTTACTGGTACCAGTAGTGGACGTTCCACCCATTCTTTACATTTTATAACCCTGGTTAGCTTTCAGCTAGGGCTTCCTGGTTCCTACCGTAGCTTCTTCAGTGTTGCTTAGTTAGCAGATATTTCCTGTATATGTGGTTAGAAAATTGCTACAAAGAACTCTAATCCATACACAGCCTCTACCGGAACAATCATGCAGGAAAGCCTGTTGCATGTGGGGTCAAAGAATGGTGGTCCCAGAATACGGTACGGTATGTATGTACGACCACATAAACAGCCTACTCATCCTTGCACTCCGCCAGGAACTGCAGCAGCGCCTCGCGGGTGAGCTTGGCCACCGTGGTGCCGCGCTGCGCTGCCACCTCCTGCAGCCGCCCCGCCAGCTCATCATCCACTGTGATGCGCCGTGCCATGCCCCTCTGCCTTGCCAGTGGCGCTGTGTACGTGCCCATGTACTCCTTCATCGCCTCAAAGCCCTGCCAACATTACCAGCAACAGCAGCACACAGGAAACGTGAGACGAGACGAGAGCTTTGAGGGCACTTGCAAGTGTCCACTGGACGCAGCGCATCACACTAACGACATGGCCCTGTGTAATGCCCACGAGCACAGAAGCACTCACCCTCGGGAGCAGCACTCACCATCAGCACAGCACTCACCCTCACTGCAGCACACACCCAACCCCACCGCAGCACACAACCACCCCCAGGGCAGCACTCACAACGCGGTTGGTGAAGTCCCCGAAAGATTCGCCCTTGTGGCCGAGGGCCTTCCACATGGCAAAGAGAGGCTCCAGCACCGCCTCCAGCTCGCCCACCTTCACCCTCTCCAGAAACACCCGCGCCAGCACTGTCTGGTTCGGCGTGCCGCCCAACCACAGCTGCCGAAGGAACGTGTGGGAGGAGTAGGAGAACGTTCAGTTTTTGGTGGGAGGGCAGGTCAATGTGGTGTGGCTAAGGCATGGTGGATGCAGCATGGAGCATGACGAGGCAGTGGGCACTCATGCAGCTGTAAACACTCGGCACTCAGCGATCAGCACTTGTGAGTGATTTGAACAGTACCCACCTGGTAGGAGTTGGCGCCATCGCCCACGAAGCCCAGCTCCGCCACATAGGGCCGCGCACAGCCGTTGGGGCAGCCCGTCATGCGCACCACCAAGGAGTGCGCCTGCTGCTGCCTCAGCCCCACCTGCTCCCATGCCATGCCATGCCATCATTCCATGCCAAGCCATGCCATGTCATGCCATGGGAGGTGTCGCATGACTCTTGCGAGTGAGTGCACAAAAGTTCATGAGACAGCTCCTAAGGTGAGTATGGTTGGGTAAATCGTAAGGGAAGTAGTATAGTTGTATTGTTGTTATAAATTGTGCTGTAGAGTGTACGGGTAAGGGGGGGGGTTTTGTGGTGATATTAGAATTGTGGCAGGGATAGGAGAATCGAGGCGGGGCCTCTCGAAATGAGGACGGGACGACGGCTGACCTGGCAAGGGCCACCGGTGAAGCGGAAAGGGGACAGGGGTGACGAGGCTTGCCCGAGTCGCATGCATGGAAAGGAGCCCAAGGGTTGGGCGGTGCGAGAGGTAGTTGGCAGACCCCAAGGCACAGATTCACGAGGGGTGACAGGAAGCCAAAACTAGCACAGCAAGGACACCAATTCACTTTTGTTTGTCTTCTCGTAATTGTGGGAAAGCTTGTGATTCAGTTGTGATCTGTCGTCAAGCTGAGCAACTGCTAGATCCACGTCGGAGAAGCCAAACTAGTGCGGCCATTTGTGCCTAGGGAAGGAAACTAGCCACTCGCGTCGAGGGCTTCTTTACAAACAAAAGTCATGGCGGGCATGTCACTACGTAGTGGTGCCAAGCTGTCCGGAATGGGAGAACCACCGGAGAAGGAAGGAGTTCCGGCGGGGAACGAAGTGGAAGGAAGCCCGGGGGAGAGATCCGATCCCGAGCGAGTAACTGCCCGGAATGACGCCGAGGACAAGGGCCGGCGGGAAGAACGACGCGGAGGTGGTATGACCCCCCGCGGATCGGGACGATTTGCGATGCGCGCCGAGAGAACCCAGGGAGAGCTGTCGCCGTCAGAAGAACAGGCGACGGTGGCGGGGAGGGGCATCGCTGCGCCAGTTGCCAGATCAGAAGGAGGAAGGGGAGGGCAGATGACGCCATCCGGAAGCGGGAATTCAAGACGCTCGCTGTGGGAGGAGGGGTCACGCTACCGATACACCAGCCTCCCTAAGGTGGAGGTTCCGAGTCGCTTCAGTGGAGATCAAGAGTCGGGACCGAGAGTGAAGACCTACGCGATGCACGTGCGGAACGAGAAATACGGATGGGAGATGGACGGCCTGGATTTACGGCACTTCTTCAGATCTTTGGGGAACACGCTGGCGGGGGAGGCGGAAGCGTTTTACCTGGAGATTAGGGACCCGCTGCTGCAGGAGGAAGAGCGAGACGAGGAGGGCCGACTGCTACGGGACGAAGAAGGGAAGCCCATCCGCTTACGGGACCCGACGGAGCGCTTCCTGCAAGAATTGGCGGCGCACTTCCCCACGCAAACGCCGGCCAGGATGAGGGAGTTCGACCAGTTGAGACGAGGTTCACGAGAGTCTCTCCTGGGCTATTATCGGCGAGTGCATCAACTGGCGGAGGACATCGGCTGCAGCGAACCGCGTATTATAGTAGCCAAA